TATTCGAGTATCTCGCACGAGTGTGCGAGAACGAGAGATAAGGCCGAGGGGAGGAAGAAGGAACGGGAAAGAGAAGAAATCGGGGGGGAGGGCCCTCCGCGGGTGTGACGTTCGGTGAACTGGTGAAAAAAAAAAAGAGATGCACCATCGTCGTTATATGCGTGTACGGTAGTACACGCGTGCAAAGTACACGCGCGCGCGACTCGAGTCTCCACACATTCCACTACGCATGCATACGCGCATATGCACGCGGCCCTGTTTGTATAGGGTCAAAGAATTGGTCAAAGAAAGAGAGGAAGACAGAAAGAGGAACGGGTGGACGCGAGATCGTGGAATAGCACAACGCGAGGGGAGAGTAAGGTAATGCGAGAGAGAGAGAGAGAGAGAGACGAGAAAACGTGCCTTGAGGGGGAGAGCGGAGAATGAGAGACCGAGAGAGATAGAGAGAGAGAGAGAGGAGGGGGGGTGCGTGTTTGCGGATGAGGAGAGCGAGCGAGTCGAAGACAGAGGCGGAGGGGGATGAAGCTAGAGGGAGAGGGAGAGACAGCTGTCAGTGGGAGAAGGACGCGCATCAGCGGAAGAGAAAGAGAGAGATTTTGAACGGCCGCGAAGGAGAGACGGACTGCGAGAGTAGGACGGAGGAAAAGAGTGGTTAGGCGGCGCCTGGTATGTGGCGCCTTCACTGGCGTCGGGCCATCTTTTATTCTGCCATTACAAAGCGTCAACACGTATCTCCCCATGCGCGCCCGCTTGTGTGTGTGTGTGTGTGTGTTATACATGCACACGCCACATGGCGACCATGCGTAACGCGTGCGTTATGTACCCGCGTTTTACGCGTATCTCCTTACGGACGCATTGTTTGCGGACAATGACGAGGAAGCCTACGACGATGACGATCCCAAGGTTCTTGTTGCTGGCCTTTTTTAGAATCGTCTAAGAAGCCCTCGTCGATCTCTCTTTTTTCCACGCCTTTTTTTTTTCATAATCTCTCTCTCTCTCTCTTATCTCAGGATCTTCGAACACGTGTCCTCCGTTATGGACTCACTCTTCAGAAGAGCTTCAGCTTTGAAAGGGTCGTGACTATGATCTTGGAATATACCCGATTCTTTTTACGATCATCGACACTGTCGAGTTCTGCGCTAGTTCGTGCACTTTTTTCTGCCTTCCCACGTTCCGATTTTTTTTATGGTCGAGTTTTTTCTTTTTTTCTTCTTTTTGTATGCGCCTCACGTACATCCTATAGCCTTGTATACGTATATACGTATGTTCAACAGGACCACCGAAGGTCCCTTTCGTTCTCTCATAAACTGTTCGTCGACTGGAATTTTCTATTCCTTATTTTATAATACCTATTTATATTATATGGTGTAATCGTTGTTGAATTTTTTAAAGATTTGTACGCTAATACTAATAATAATGTTCGTATTATAGATGTTTACATATTCAAGATGAACAACCAACTTAATATGCATAATCAACATATATAACTTCTTGGAAAATATATGTTGATTATGTATATTGAATTGTTTTTGTTCGTCCTAAAAAAGATGATTATTAATTCTCGACTATAGTAACGAGTCATTTGAAATCGAAAATTTTAGACGAATTTGTGCACAGTTTTGCTGAAGTATCAAAATATTTAGTTATAGATACAGATCTGAAAATAATTTTGTTGAAAATTATGTACGCTTAAATGTGATGACAATGTTGCAAAAAATTTTAATATTCTAGCCATGACTTTAAGTTATCCTACATAATTATTTTGATAGTTAAAACAGAATTATTTTTAAATCTGTGTCTAGTTTAGATACTTTAGCAAAACAATTCTTTCCGTACTCAGAAAAATATATATTATGCCCAAGTAATAATTACCTTCAAGTATTGTGTTTCAAAAGTTTATTCGCAAATTTATCATGAGAGTTTATCACAAGTATTAAATTTATTCAAAATATATTCTGAATTCCCTAATAAATGTAATACTTTAATCAAGATTATTAAATTAAAATAAATTTGATTTGCTCGTTACAAAAAATTTTTCTTGATCAATTTTATAATATTTTTACAAGAATGAATTTTGTTAAAATTTGTAATAATTATATTTTAAGATTATTATCGAGAAAATATTTTTTATTAAAAATAACTGTTACTTTAAAAAGAGAGAAAAAGTAAGTTGAGTAGTTACTTTTTTTCGCAGAGTAGAAAGATATTTTTCCGTACGCGATTGGTCCTCATAATATCGCAGGGTTCTAAATTGTAGGAAAAAAAGAAACGACGGTGAACCTTTCTTTGTCAATCACCGTAAAGCGGAGGTTTACTTACATATACATTCTATGTCACTTGAAGCAGAAGATTTCGATCTTAGATATAGTTTTCACAGCTGTAATTGAGGGTGTAACACCGATCCTCCGAAAAAGTTCTCCACGATGCATCGAGACTTTAGTCTATTAAAGTCTTGGCGGTGCATCGCAGGTTGCGGGTGGGTGCAGTGGTACGATGTCGATAAGGGCCAACGAAAATATAAGCGTTGCCAAGTGTCCTTTTGATCGAGCATTGCCGCCGCTGCCGTGCGCTCGCGCGTAATAGAAGCGAGGAGTCTTTTTTTAGACCCTCGTGCCGCGGCCGACACTCTCTGCTTGCAGGAGAACCGAAATAAATTGAACGATTTTATTGCGATACTATTCGCGGCGCGTCCGCCTACTTGTTTCACAATGCCTGATGTCCCGATATACGTTCATACATATCTTATATATATATATATATATAATCAGAATCTATATTATGTACATATATAATACTCTCTTCCTCTCGGGCATTTTATTTAGATTCCGTACGTGCACAACACGCGCCGCATTCTCTGCAGTGCTACCATATAGCCAGGCGCCAATAATATTCTCGCTGTACCGTTCTCTAATATGACACGCACTTAAGCAAACACCCGATGACTTTATATGCCTTCGCTTACTATGCGCATATACGTATACAACGCACGTACGCACAGCGCGTACGCATTTTTTCACGACTATGTATCCTCTGCATCTGTATATAAACGCGATGTCGTGTTCTCTCTTAATTTAATAGATCTTTGTTAAGAGCTCAAAATGGATTCTTCTCTCAAGAGGAATGTTGGAAAGAAGTCAGGGATTCGTTCAACTTGAAGAGTTTGATTTAGAACTCGCTGATTGCGCTTGACATTTAATGAGTTTGAAGGAGACACCCTGTACGCGCCTATATACGCCGTGCGCGTTGTAATTTTGCAAGGCTGCGTGGGTGTCACGCGGGGAAGATGCAATTCTTAAACACGAGCTTTATCCGTTGGATCTATCTCTTGCCTATTCAGCGACGCGTGGCGTGGCGACACTCTGACGCGATCAAAGTTTTAATAAATGCATCGCGCGCTCTATGCTTCGATAATCTATTTTTACTCACGCGCGTCCGTTCTCTGACTCTATTAAATAATTTACAACGACACATCTATTTAATCTCACTCGTAACTCGCAATCATTATTATATCACTTTGTTACTCGCTCATAGATAATCATTGTGAACATACAACTATTTTCTTTTTATACAGTGCATATGTCGCGGTCTCCTGTCAGAGATGAGATACTCTTTTCTCGGAATGCGCGTGGCGATATTATTCCGCCGATATTTATGCCACGCGTGTCAGGTTTGCGTGCGGGAGAGGAGCTGTCGGCGACGACGATGACGGCGACGGCGACGTAATGCATTCAGAAGCGGACGGGCGGCGCGACGCAGGAAGCGAGCGGTTTATGGCTTTGTTGTCGTCGTCATCGTCGTTGTCGTCGCCGCCGCCGCTGCCGCCGTCGCCGTTGCCGTCGCCGTCTCTCGTCGCACGCGAACGCGTGCGATTTTTTTTGAACGCTCGTTCGCGGGGCCTGACCCGCCGTCGTGGATAGAATCCCACGTGAAAGTTAAACCGCGTTGCGCCTCGCCGGCGCGACGCGGACGATCCTTTCCCGCTAGTCTCGTTTAAAAGGCGTCTGTCCTCGACTTGGCGACTCGCTGACGCGGTCATCCGTCGCCTCTCTGACGCGCGTGGCTCCCGCCGATACCGTCGCGTCGTTTCGATTGACAAGGGAGAGTTTCCCACCCACGTATACCTGTATTCTCACGTGAGTTTTTTTTTTATCGATTCCGTCTGAGTGCTTGGCGGCTATGAGTACCTATTTGGATATCTATGCGCCGCGCCGTTGGATAACCAAAAGTACTTAATGTCGAAAAATTTCAGTGTACGAAGAACGATCTCGAGAATATTCTTACTTCTTATTATATTCTTACATATTCTGATATATTTAAAATTACGTATGAAGATATTTTCTCTTTGTTAGAAAATTAACCCACCTCAGATACACTAAAAAAAGTTTGGTAATAACTACTAAATATTTAGTAAAATAATTAAATGTTTGGTGAATATAATAAGAAATGATATTGTATTATAGTGATATTTATTAAATATTTAGAAAATTAAAATTATTTTTAGTCGTATTAACCAAATATTTAATTATTTTGTTAAGCATTTGGTAGCTATTACCAAATTTTCTTTTTTCAGTATACGTGAGAATTAGAAGACAATTTTTCAACTTTGAATTATGGTTTTTTTGTCGATGTTGTCTCAAATTCGTATGCACGCACAAGAAAAAAATTTTGGATCGCATAATTTTGTACAATCATATTTCTAAATGTTGAAAGAGTATCCCAGAAGTGTTTTTCAGATTTTTGAGAGTCCAAAAATTCTTTGTAAAACAACCGTGTCTGAGCAATTCAGGTGATCTGAATAATTGTAAATGGTAAAAGTGAGGGTGGTCTGCGAAGAGGATTAATATCGTCAAACAATATTCTGGCAGTCGCAATATTTGATGTTACAAAACAATGCTTGTGTGTAAATAAGGAAAATTGTTTCAACGGTATTTATATCTACGAAGCAATGATAAAATGCGCGATTGCGGTCTCTCTCCATTATTTTGCCAATCGACGAAAACATGCGCACATTGTTCTCCATTGAATTCGAGGAGAAACACGTTCCTAGCCCGATCACAATCTCCTTCGCGAGGTCGAGTAATAAATTTCGATCGAATGGCACCGCGTTGCTTTTGCGAGGTCAGTTCTTGTCGGTATACTTTTCGTGACCAGGTCGGCGCATATTACACAAATTACGCAACTTCGACGTTACAAGTTTTAACGCATTCGGACACGAACTCGCGCGAAAAAGTGATCTCCAAGATTCGTGGACTCGACGAAATCGTATATACCGGTTTCTCGATCCTCACGGGGAAAAGTAACGCGAATGTCGTCGCGAAAAGGATCGCCACGGGTGGTATTATCTTCATTGATCTTTTGGAATCGCACCGTCTCTCCCTCAAGGTAAGCCGGTAGCGGTCTTTCCGCACGTCTTAGTTCTACAGTCGTCGTCTAGTTTCTCCTCGTTTCCGATTACACATGCGAGGTTGAAAACGATTCCTTCGTGCGCACCTGCCTCTAGTCTGCCCCGTCTGGGTCGATCTGTCAAGCCCATAAGAAAGCGCGAAGGTTCGAGAATCCAGCTGACGGACATTCACGATAGCCAATTATCATTTCTAATTGTGTATTTAGCATGTATTTACTAACGCATATTCCAGGTTTTTCTGTCGCAATACAATAAAACAAGACGGCCTCCGCGCGATAATTCGTATACATATCTCGACGTATTTATCTAAGCATGCTTAACTTAGCGCCACTGGTTATGTAAATATTTGCGAGTTGCGATATTTAGATGATAGAATTATCGCATGTTTAATTAGTGAAAGTCCAAAATCCTTTATGCGCATCTCTTGCAGAGAACTGCGCCAGATTTGATATTCAATCTCGAAAAAAATATTATATATGCACGGAAAGAACGATTTTTTTTACTAAGATAGTTAAAAATTTAAATAGATACAGATCTGAATTTTTTTAGATCATCAAAATAATTATGTAGAAAATTCAAGCTTGATGAACAAAAATGTTGGCATTCTGGCAATCAATTTAAACGTCCTGCGTAATTATTTTGACAGTCCAACAAAATTTATTTTTAGAGTTAAAAATTTTTAAATATACTTCAGAAGGCAATGTGTTCTTTCGTGTGAGAGCTCAAGTTCCCCTCGTGAGGTTTTTTTTTTTCTAAAACTCGACAGATTATCTTTTTAAGGGTAGAAGCATTAAAGTTGATTCTCGATGGAGAATTCTATTTTTACAAAGATAGAATTTACAAATAAATGATAAGTGGTAGGAGATAAAGATATTTCTTTCTTCGGTATCAGTATTCGTTCCTCCTATCCCCTCGGGACTTTTCTGTAATCTCCGGCGTCGTTGACTGCAGGATTGAGCGTCTGAGAGCCTCACGTCCTGGGCGGCGATTCGGCGGCCTTCAAAATAAACTGAAATTCCGAGTCTCGGTACACAACACAGGCGCCACTGACACGCTACGCTCATCTTATCGCGGGCAAACACCGCTCGGCTAAACTCGTAGTTCCTATCGCTCGCTCTCGTCTATCAAATTAGATATATATATATATATACACACACGGGCACATGTGTGCAATCGTGCATATGTGAGTATATGCATATAATACGGCGGTGGTATCGTGCATATTCGCGCGTACGTATATACGGGGTGTCCTTCGTAGTCGCACCCACCGAATCGTCTCGTCTCGCGTCACGGTATCTGATACGGAAGCGGATACACGGCGGCTATTTTTAGCGAACACTGCATTTCCTGCGGGAACAAAAATAGACGGAGTGTCTATTGCGCATGAGAAGTAAAAAGCGCATCGTGCCTCTTTAATGGAGATTAATTTGCCGGTCAAATCGATTCTTAGCCTGTAATGAATATACCAGCGATACGCTGCATATGCAATAGGACAATAAATAATAAGGACTCGTTAAGAGATAAAGACGCGCGTAAAAACGTACTTGCTCTAGTCTGGTGAATTGAATTAGAATATTCATATACGGTCTATATATTATGTTATCTTTCTTAGCCACCAATATTTATACATTGAAATACAAGAAGTAAGTTTTTGTAGATGAATGTAATCTGATCATAAATACGACTGTACACACACTGCATTATTAATATATTCTTTTCTCTTCTCTCAATATATAATAGATTTTTAAAATAGCTACATAAATTGAAAATAATAAAAATTCACACAACAAAAGATACTATCAGTCTTCTTCTCGTTTATTTAAGTTGAACATTCCTCAATCGGTTTTCTGTACTCAGTATATTGTAGCGATTATATTTATTTAAATTATAACATATGCTAAACATTTCTAAGATGAACTTTATGGGATATTGTCTAAATAAATTACAAACGAACTACGAGTCGAGCGTTTTCTCGATAACAAGACAACAGCACGCGAACGGATAAATAAACGGACGTTTAACGTTGTCCTCAATGAAGCGGGACTCGCGGCGGTTACGACTTGCGTCCGCGACGAAGGTGAGAAATTTGGCAAGTACGTCCCTGGTAGCGGAGAATTGTGGGTTATACGCCGGAGTTGCGCTCGCGACACGCATACACGCGTACGTCAGGCGGCCGCGATGGCTGCGAGACTTTCTTGCTACGCGAGAGCGCGTGTCGTTAGGTATGCAACGCGCACCTATACGGCGCACGGTCGTAGAAAGGCCGTTTGAAGGACAAGGGTCACGTCTCTTCGAGCGCCGATATATATATATATATATGTACATATACGCGACACGGCCGCTGCCTTTACTACCTTTACCGTATAGCCGTCGACCCCGATGCGTGCGCTTATCCCTCGCTGGCCGGCGCGATCGCGCGTGCACGCGTACCCTCGTGTGGACGAACGGACCGCGAAATTCTTTCCTTCCTTCTGGAACAGATAGGCGCAGATACGCGCGAATCGGGGTCAAGCCTATAAAGATCTGGCGAGCGAAGCGGATTTATGCCCGTTTCTATCAATGAAATTTTAATTTTATCTTAACTCTTACTCTCTCTCTCCTTCTTTTCCTAATTCTAAGAATTTTTTTTCGAAGAACTAGAAATAGAGAGAGAAGTCAATTGAGAACTAAAAATTAAATTATACATTGTGGTAGAAACGCGCGTTAATCGAAGATGGGCGAAAAGGAAAAGTATAGACAGAGACGATTCGATTGGAAATGTGTATTATTATGAAATTCAATTGCAGAGATTAGTAAAGAAGATATGAAAGGCGAGGAAGATGTTTTGTCACGCGTTATTTGCGTCACCATATTTTTTTTTCGTAACTTTCAGTGAGGAGATTTCAAGAGGTCTGGTTGTATGATTTATTTCTGATAAACAAACGCGTGATAAAAATAATCAAAATACGATGCTTTTAAATTTTTATATGTCTACACGTCTACGTTCTACTGCTTTATGACTTGTTTTATGTGACAGATATTTTAAATCGTACACGTCACGTAATCCGCAAATTTTTCATCGCGATGAATGAAAAATAGAAATCTTACGACTCAAAAGGTAACTGTAAAAGTACCTTTCTGTACATACTGCCAGGTTTGTACCGATGCATACCGCTTATCTTTTTACGTGCAAGATTTTTAATACGCGAAACAGCGTGCATGTGCACCTACGTTACGTACGCAGTTACTTGGCCGGCCATGCCAAGGTTGGGAATCTTATCTAAGCTTCAGGGTATTTGACCCAACTCGGAAAACACATTGGCACTCCGGTGGCTTTGCATCGGTCTTTCGCGATCTGCTTAAAGCGCTGTTCACAATTGGCTCTTGTTACGTATATCGACCGAAGCGACATGAAACGCGAACGTGACGTCGTATGCGCGGATAGAACGTTGATATTACTCTTCTAAAGAAAAATGGCACGGGCTGTAAAACCACAGCGGGTTCTTCCTGTTTCTTTTTCGCCAGAACACAAATCGAGTTCACGTGCGCATTAAACACGACAAATATAAATGTCGCTGGATTAATGTATACGAACGTAAAATATCGAGTCGATTAAAACAACACTCCCTCCGGCAAGCCGTACGCAAGTCGCGTCGTCGGGGGCGAAGTCGGAAGGCCGCCGGGCATTATTCTTGCAAATCGCGGCGACGCGGCGCGTCGATAAGTAATTGCATCCAATCTCCCTGAAATTCGCTTTCAGGCTGAATGCCGTGACGACGGATGGCATCGGCCGTTCCGCTTCTTCCGCATCTCCTTCTCTCGCTCACCCCGAAATTTATTATCGAGAAGACCACTCGCGCGCCCCGATGATTTATCATGAACGATCCTGTGCTCTGTGAGCGTTTCTTTTTCTAGCATCTGAATTTATATTCGCGTGCGTCGCGACATTGGACAAGTACGAACTATAATTTCGTGGAACGATATTATTTTTTTTTTTTAGAATTAAAAGAGCAACAAATGAAAATTTTGCGAGCTTGATCCATAAATAATTGACCGATCGATTCTGCAGGAAACGATTCAGCTAGCTTTTTTTCGGACGATCCAAATTACGTTCTTTATTAATACACTAGAAAAAGAGTCTAGTTGCATTAATTGGAATTTTGTTTAAAAATGGACAGATCAGCATTTTTGCGTCTATTACCATTTTTGTTGAGATAACCAAAATTTCGTTATGATCAGAATCTTCCGATTCGTTCATTTTCAATTAGAAATTTTTCTCAGGGTGTACACAAGCATGAACCTTTTCTCCTTTCGCAATCGCGCACTTCGTCTATTTAAAGCTCATTTTACAACCGCGTAAGAGCAATTGTAAGTGATTATATAATTGTAAGAATTGACCAATCACAGTTGAACATGTGGAGAATCCTTGACTGTGATTGGTCAATTCTTACAATTACAATCGCAACTACGCTTACTCGACTATAGAATGAGTTTCATGTCCATGGATTATGATTTTAGCTTCATCATTCGTGCCTCATCTTACAAGATGCGTATGCACGCACGCGTTTGTGTCAAAGCGGCGGTAGCAACAGCAGCAGCAGCAGCACCAACAGCGCAGCGATGATATCGCATTCCAAACGAGACTCCAGACACTTTAGCCGACGCTGTCGCGTGTCTCGGGACGGCGAGCGTTATTTTTCTCCCATCCGTGTTTACACACGCTCCCGTGCAAACACCTTGCGTATCGCTCCGCGTGGCGATTGGTATGCGGTTGGGAAGGTCGACACTCGAGATCTGCGTACGCTGCAAACGATAAATATCTGCGCGACCGACTCCAAGTTGGCCATTAGACGGATCCTTTCCGACACACCGGATCTGCGAAGCACGCCATTCAATATGAAAGAAAAGTAATACATAATTCTACAGTTCCTTATCAAAATAAAAAAGTACGCAATGTATTGTAGAAGACGTCATTTGGGAAGAAAAGTGTTGCACTAATAATTTATCGCAATTCCTCGCGGCAATTCTCGTTAAGTTTTAGCAGAAGATGCTCTACATTTTAACAAAGTCGCGGCTGCGCTACTTTTGCAATTTTGATTTCTTGTACAAAAAATTTTTAGAGTATAAAAAATATTTTTATTTTTAAAAAGGTCTGTAGAACTATGAAAAGTGTACTACTGGAACTGTCATTATTTTTTTTAAATTAATTTAGCGAATTCGAGTTTAGCTCTGCCTGGCAACGTGCAAAGAACGGCGGGATAATTCTCGCGGCCGCGGCCGCGGCGTGGCACTCGGTCGCCGGCACCGATTCATTGAGAGGTTTTTCTTAATCGAGCTGAGATCCTTGGAAACGAGAACGATTACGAAAATAAAAGACTCGCGGACGTACGTCGCGACGTGAAATAATACGTCTGTCTCTCTCCCTCTTCCTCTGTATCAGGGATATAGAGAAATGAGGACACTTAAGAGCCGCGGCAAGCTGCAGTCAATTCCGTAATTGCTTCTTTATCGTGATCTTCAGAGAACCGACAGAATTGCTTTATTACAGGGCTTTCGGTCTGCTTCCAATTTTCCGAGTCACATACGCCGCCCGCCGCGCGCGCGCGCGCGCCTCTTCGTGGCCCACATTTAGTGACTGCGTTTATTGTATTGTGCGCGCGCGCGGAACGCACCTCGCGATTCTCGCTAGCTCACTCGCTCGTTTCCTCCCCGTCGCATTTATCCCCATGATTTCATTTATCCCCCTCCACGATAGCAACGCGATCGTCGGATTGAGGAGCGCTTTTACTCCAACATCGAGAATTCCGACAGCAAATGACGGATTTAATGCGCTCGCTGTACCTATTAAATTAAATTGCCCGTTTCCGTACGCTTGGAAGTCGCGAAATCTTCTCGTTAAATCACTTGGAACCTTGAAACATTGCTATCTCTCGGTGCGCCTCAACGCATCGAAAGAAAGCGAGTATACTTAGGTTTGCTTTTTGTCGCTGTCACTGAACTGCACTAAAACTTTTCTATTTTGTTTTTCGCCAAACTTCAAATATAAATCTATTTCTTATGCATCTATTTATGTTTTAAGTACGTATTGAAAAAATTGTATTAATTGAAAGTTAGGTAGATTCAACCAGAAAGGTACTAATCAAACATTTGTATAGTTAAATGTATCAAACATTCCAGTCGAGATATCCAAGAAAAAAATTCAATTATGACTCATATGATCAGAATTCGTTCTGTTTGTACTTCTTATTAATTAATCAGAATATTTTTCTTATGTGTGGTAGATTTAGAAACGTAAAAATCAGACACTTAAAGCCTATGGCATATACGATGCGTGCTTTCCTGCGTTTTAGTAAATTGCTACAAATTCTGTGTTCTATGTAATTGCAATCGTAATAATGTATTAAAACGCAAGCAGTTGCGTTTTAATTTTCCAGCGGGAAAAATGCATCGTGTGCCGTAAGCTTTACAGTTAATTTATCAAACATTCTAATCGAGAGATAACTAGAAATTCAATTACGATAACTAGAATTCTGATTGATACGATTGGGATTTTTTTGTTTGTACTTCTTGTTGACTTTGTTCAATGCAACAAGTGTATTCTTGTTCAGTCACAATGGACAGACCTCTCTACTCGTACGCGATCCCCTAAATATCCAGACGATTTCCAGGTAACCGGTAGTCGGCCTCTCGAGACACCCTGTATATCCGGCGTATCTACCTCGCGCTTGATTTCGCGTTTCTGGTCCGCGCTGCGATAACTCGATGGGGAATAAAACCCACAACGCGACGGCGGCGACGGCAGCAGCCAGAAACTGCTGAAAGACCGCAGACGATCGCAGATAAACATGAAAATTCGACGACGACGACGACGACGACGGTGGCGACGGCGGGCGACGCGACAGGCGTCCTTGCTCCAACCACTCGCGCTACTACCGATGACGTAATCGTCGCGATACCCCGCAATCTTGGCGCCGCGGTAAACTCGTAATATCTATTTTTATCTGTGGTGGAAGCAAGGGGCTCCCCGATTCCCCGCCGCCGTCGTCCGCTTCAGTCCCATCTTTCTCTTTCCCGTGCGTGACGCTGTTCTACGACACACACGCCAGCTCGTCGTAGAGCCGCGAGGAGAGAGAGCCAAGCCGAGCCGAGCCAAACTCCGAGATGTCCGAGCGGGGCCTCGGAAATCGAACGATGTTTATTGCGGTCGCGATAAGGTTGTTTTCGGTCGCATCACGTATTTTCGTGTCCTAGCTCGACCGAGCTTCCGATCTGACGAATTTCTGAGTCTCATTGTGGTTTCGTTGACTTCCGGGAGCAGAGGCTCCAGTCGTCGATTGCGTTACCGATCATCGGCAAGAAATCGCGAACGTGCGAGATCATCTTCAACGGCTGCGCGCTAGGTGACGCAAAATTCCTTGCTCGGAATCACGTTGCGGAGAGGAAGAGGGTAAAAGAAGAATAAGCGGAGGATTTCAACGTCGAAATATTTAATTGATGCTAATTTTCGTATAATTGTGAATAAAGTTGCTCTTTCCGGATTTATTTAATAATACATCACGCTGTTAGATATCAGAGAAAAAATAACAACCCAGTCCTCTGAATAATAATATTTTATTATTTTTAATTTTCATTTGTGTAAAAACATAAATCGATCCATTTTTATGATTAGTTTCAAATTAACTTGCATTGATTTAATTTAATTTAATTATTGAATAGAAACAGTAGCCATCTTAGAAATGATAAAAATAGCTCAAATTGACTCTTACTTTATATTTTATTTACATGTATATGTTACACGTCTAATGTTACCTTATTGTAATACAATATTAAAATATATAATATTAAATGTTACTAAATATGAAATAAATAATGATAAATGTCAAATTTGTGAAAGATTAAAATAATATTTAATATTGAATAAAAATGTAGAGAAAAAGAATTATTAAATATTAAACAAAAAATTGATGAGAATAATATTAAGACTGCAACCGGTAATCGTGTTAACATTAATCCGTGACTATCTCGTGTCATTGTATTCCGGGCTCGAAACGAATCGGTACTCGATGTTGCACCATTCTGTGTCTTCCTCCGTTTCCAACTTCTTATTTTACTCGGCCGTTACATCCAGCCTGCCTGGATCCTGGCGCCGGTTCCAGGCGGCGACGATGCGACGCTGTAACGAAGAGCGTGGGAGATTGCCGGCGCTCCTTTGTAACACCGCCCGCAGCTTCTCCCAGTACAAACCTCTTTACCGGAAAGGACCACTCGTTAACAAAGAATCCCGAAGAGAGACGTCTCGTCGGGCCGACAGACATCCGGTAGATAAAACATTCGGAAAATCATGCTCTTTTCGAGTATTATTTTCAACAAACGATTAGACGAAAGATAACAATGCTCTACCTTTTACGGTCACGTAGGTATATAATCCGGGTTGTACTAAAAAAATGTTCACTGATTGTAAGGGTCATGTTTGTTTCATGCCTGAAACATGCAGTGATCGATTGTTATTTACAGACATAATGGTAGGTAGAAAGATAGTTTTTGTTCCGAGTTAACAATAAGATTCTAGCGGAAGTTTCGATATTATTCTTCTTGACTAGACAGAATAGAAAGTGTCCTATGCTGTGTCCAGTATCGTCCGCTTTTACTTACTCAGTTAGTATACTTACTGAAAATTTGTACGTAACGTGTGCTATAGATTTTCAGTACTGACGGTGTATATCGGAAATTGGGAACATGACTTATTATTATAACAAATTTGATTGAGATGGTTAAACCACGAAATACACTTTATTGTACTGTATTTTATAATTTAAAATATTTACATTTTATTTTTGCACTCAGGTTAAATCACTGTCATACAAAGTTACACAACTTAAGAACAAATAAGCTTTTGAAAGATCGCGTTTTACCATCAAATATATAGAAAAATTCTTATATTTTCTTTTTATATTTGTTTTAGCATATAATGCATTCATACTATCTCGCGTATATTTATTTATCACATTTCGATCGTATTTTAGAAGAACAAATTTAATATAATTGACGCAATTGCATCAATAACGACTTTTTAATTCGTAAATAACAAGTACATATATGTATAGAAGGAAATACGAGGGGTATTGTTGAAAAAAGAAATGCTTATTGTATCATAAACGATGTAGGGTCATTGATTGATGACAAGCAATAGTAACACTCGACACGTTTTGGATTAATCTTCACACTTTAAATGTCCCTTTTTTCTTGATTGTTCATAGGTGAGACAGGACAAAGGGAATGGTGCACCCTGGCGTATTGGGAATTGGGCGGCCGAGTTGGTCGTTTATATCCTGTGGAGCCATCGACGGTGAACGTCTTCGACTCTCTTCACGACGGCGACGGTCTTTGTTTAGCGACTCTGGTTGAGAATCATAGTGCACCGCCCGCAGTCCAGCGTACACGCAGCAAAATCGGCCTTGGTAAGTCCGATTTTAGAAACTCGTTTTCGCAAGACTGTATGTCTCAATTTTCATTCTTTAGATAGAGTAAAATTCTATTCTAAAGAGTTTAGAGAGTATACAAAATATTTTTAATTATTTATTGAACAACTTCTACTTATCCACACGATAGTGCTAATTCCTAAAGATTTCAGTATAAAAAATCAGATAAATAAGAAAAATCCCGTCTTTTTGTCGTAGGACTAACGCTCAGTCAGGAGGCGGACGGTGTATGGGCGTACAATCGGTCAGAGAGCCCAATTTTTGTGAATTCGCCCACCCTGGACGACCCGGAATCGAGAACGTTGCTAGTTTACCGGGTGCCACCGGGTTTCTGTCTCAACATCTTTGACCGCGCCAAGATCATGCAGCTTCCATACGGCGGCGGCGGCGGTCAGGCCACTGGTTTTACCGCCTCCGGCCCCGTCGACATTAACTCCGTCCGCATCAGCTTCGCCAAAGGCTGGGGACCCAAGTATTCGCGGCAGGAGGTCACTTCCTGTCCGTGCTGGCTCGAGGTGCTTCTGGCGCCATGTAGGTGATCATCTTCAAGGCTGGCCAGGCCGAAGAATACCGTCAAGTCCCGTTTTCAACATGCGCCTCTTGCTCCTCCTCGTCGTCATCGTCGTCGTCGTTATTCTCGGGGAAGATAGGTGATAATGATGTGGCGACCGTGGCCTTTAGCTCCGTCCTAGCGAGAGCTGTGTTAATAATAAATAAATAAAAAGAACACGTGTGTGTGCGCCGGGGGCGATCCCTAGCGGCGCGTGCCGGGGTCGTCCCAACAACCCCAGCAGTCTTACCAAAGTACACGCCGTTAAAATAATACGTTTAGGAACAACGTTGCGTTCCATTTTCGTCAATAGAATGAGAGACGGGAACGAACGAGATCGTTCGCGAGCGTGTTCATCGAGCGCGTATGAACGGAGAGATTCACATCGAGACTTACACGAATGGGACTTAGACTGGAATCAGACTACACATTGAAGATTGAGATTAAAGATTGAAATTTGAAATGTAACCAATGAGAATAAAAGAATTTTAGCTTCTATTATATTTGATTGGTCAAATTTCAATCTTTCAATCTTCAATCTCAATCTTTAATGCGTAGTCTGATTCCGACCTTAAGATCATTATGAAGCGTGCGTTTGATTCATAGTTCTTCTTTTTTAATTTTATTCTCTGATCACTTAGACGTCGATGCTATTCTCGAAATTCATGTGAGAATTTCCGACAGAGGAAGCGTAGAGAGAGAGAGAGAGAGAGAGAGAGTCGGGCTTCCGATAGGTCTAGTCACTTGCGTTTATGGTCTACGCGCGCCAGCTCGCGAATTCGTGCGCGTGGATTCTGAATTCAATATGGCAGGGAAAATTTTTAGTCTTGTAAAGATGAAGCATGAAGCAAAGAATAGCATCGACGAAACAGAGAGGATAAATAGTACGTAGATAGAGTATTTCATGATCGCTGTTTGAAAAATTTTTTAGATAATCGTTTTGCCAGTTCAAAAAAATTTAGAGAACAGCGGGGATTTATTGACATGTAACGATAAACAAATAAGATATTTATCCAATACATATAGCACAGAAAATAATTGAACATCCAATTGTTTTTCGATAATTTTTAGTAAATTAAGAAAAACTTATCATGAATTTTGTTGTAAACTCGTTACATTTCGTAGAACTTATGTTATTGATAAAAAAGATAAATTGACGTTTAAACTTAAACGTTAAAAATTTAGAAACAGTTTTTTGTAAAAATAATTATATTATATTAATCATGTTTGATATACTTAAATTTTTTTAATTGTACTATCTTCTTTACAAGTTTTATACAGGAGGTCGATCATGTAACTTTTTTCTTAGGGCGGGAACGTGAAAAATGAAAAGTTCACATGAACCTTTTTGCCATGCAACCTAGCCATGCAACTAACGTCATGAAACCTAGAGAATTAATAAATATACTTTGATATTTAAAAGAAGTGTAATCTGGCTATGTTATTCGCCGATAGATTATTATTTCAAGAAATAAATTATTATATTGAAATAAAAAAGGATTACGAATACTGGCTTAGAAGCTAGCGCATTCAAGCTATATATATAATCGCTATGAGTGAAAAGTTTTACATGAAATTACATGATTGACTCCCAGATTACAAACTAAGATATTGTTATTTTAAGAAGGTTAAAAATATACAAAATGAAACGAAGTTTTAAATAACGTATAATAATATAAATATAAATTGATCAATTTTTATATATCGTGAATTTTTATTTAATAAGATATTTATTAATTAATTTATTAATTTTAATTCGAGAGAGATAATCATGGTCGCTGCAATAGCATAAGTTCTATGGTAAGTCCTATGTCGCAAGGGGACCTATATTGAATTGAATAGTCTCGTGATCGACTTAAAACCGAAAGCGATTGATGTGCCACGAGTCCCGTGTGTATTATCTCCGATCGTCGTTCGGTGCTGTACATACGTATAGTACATGTACATACACTGTGCCTTCACAGCTTCCCTTCTTGGTGCAACGCGTACTCTCGGGAAACAAAAGTGCGCCACGTGCCAAGCTCGTTTCGCACGAAAAAAGAAAAAAAATTATGCCTCCTCATCTGGAGCTTTATACTACAGTAATACGATGTACTGTGATAAGAGTTTGACCGCGAGTCTTTTCTTTCTTCCTTTTTTTACGATTGCGAAGTAAACAAGACAGCAGAGAGAGAGAGAGAGAGAGAGAGAGAACAGGAGATATGTTCACGTATAATGGTTAATTAACGGAGAAGGTTCTGCACATCGGAAATGAGGAACGAGGTATCGCTGATAGTTTCACGAAGATCATCTCTCAGCTTACAATTAGTCGCGCTAGTCGTCGAAACGTTTCGTTCGACCGAGATGAAGAATGGCTTCTCTGTTGCTTTTTATTTTCTTCCGAACGTAGCTATGCACGTCTTGCCGATTTCCGATGTACGGAAACTTTCCTCGAAGAGGATTATACACGAAACGCATATATACGGACATTTTTTTACATACTCTGTAGAATATACGAATGAACTTGAAAGAAGGAAAGAGCGTACACGGTGTTCAGGACAATGTGTCTAAGTGCATACGATGTAAACGTGTACCAAGTCATACGTATTCATTCACTCACGTACACGATACACATACACATAACACGCGTGCATACATACATCATACACATACATATGTAATACAATCGACTGATCGACCCGTTATTTTCGACCATTAGTTTACTTTCGTACTACCGCTTTTATCGGATGTAAAAGTGGCCGTTACTTTGTAATAACAGTTGAAAGGATTAAGAGCTACGAGAAATGATATATTGTGATGCGTATACGCCGCTTAAATGTTATATATTGATATGTATACAGAGACGTATACAAAAAATGTTCATAGGTAGCTAACTGTTGTGTGTGTGTGTGTGTGTATATGCGTGAATGTGTATGTGTGTGTGTGTGTGTGAGAGAGAGAGAAAGAGAGAGAGAGCAAAAAAGAGCGACAGTCTGGTTGGATCATCGGCGAAAATAATTGTAAGGAGGAATGAGAGGACGTTCGCCGGCAGATTGTTCACTTTGGATGACTCCGGTTTGCTTTTCGTAGTCCATTTTCCCACTGTTCTCCAACACGTTGTTGTGGTCGAGATCCATCTTTGCTGCCGCGATTAAGAACGTGCGCACCGCCTTGGAATGCGTTTGAAATGGTGTTACGTGCCTCTATCCGCGCGATGTAAGAGCAGCATTTGACAATTTATGAGACAGACACGTCGTTCGTATCCTCAAGAGAATCCGATTACAAGTAATTTAAGCCTACCGTCTTGAGCTCGAGGTACTAATATTTGTCAGCGACGTTCGCGTCCTTATATTTGTATTCTGATAACGTTATATTTGCAATAATTCGAAAAAAGACGACCAGTATAAATACGATAAGAATAATTTAGAGAAATAAAAAAGAACTAATTAATTAACAAAAAAAAAATGTAATACGATGCGATGAGTCGGTTTAACGATAATGAATGTAATTCGATTCGCAGATCTGTCGCGGCGTATAATACGCGCACGCATACGAAATACGTAATGATTCATGTTTGTACCTCTTTGTGCTCGTTTTATCGCGCTCAAGCATCCAAAAGAGCCGTCGCGGTCGTCGTGTGTTAGGAACAAAAAGAAACTTACGAAGGCGCACTCTAAAATTAATGGTAGGACAGTCCTACGACGTAAATATCGCTGCGGGAACGTTCGGGCGTCTTCTTCCCTTGCGACATGCCTTGTCGCAATAAATGCGAGAGCAATTTCTCCTTAGTCTCGAGAATTTCGAAAGAGAAACGATCGCGAAAATGCGAAAAAATCGTATAATGTAAATCTCTCCTCCTAAAAAAAAAAAAAAAAAGAATACGAACTTTGAAGGAGAAAAACATCTATAATACGCTTACAGAAAGCCCAATAGCAAACTCGCAATAATAAATCTGTTTAATGAATTATTATCGGGAAAATAGGCGAAGAAATAAGTACCACGTTTATTTCATGGTATTCTTTTTTTTGTCGAATCTTTTATCTTTCAAATAAATTAAAAGTTTGCGGAGTTTCTGTCTGTTTGGATAATTTTTAATAGAACGCTATTGTTATAATTATGTTTTCTGTCCTACCACTGTCAATCTCGCCGACATTTTTCGTACTGCTCTACCTTTCGTCTTTTTCGAAATATCTGTAGATACAAAAGTGTTACTTATAGATTGTATCTGTACATAATATAAAGTGCGGAGAAATCTTTCGAGTTTCTCGATAATTTTTCGTGAATTTTTGTAGCGTCGTAAAATTGATCGCAAGCACGAATCTACGCTGATCTAAGTGGAGAAGGAAGTTCGGATGTGAATAATGTAATATATATCTTCGACGAAGATTTTTTTTCAAATGAGAAAGACTAAATACATCTGTTGTGTACATTCGTAAACTGCGTGGAACGTTTTTGCATTTCGACTGAAACATAGAAAACATAGATTCATCTAATGCATAGATTGTCTTCTTTCACTCTACCTCTTCGTTTTGCTTTCTTTTTCCTTTTACGTCCTTTCGCGTTTCGCTTTTATCCTTTTTTTACAATCCGCTTTTTTGGTTTTTCATTCATTTAATCGTGATATATTTTTCATTTACTTGATTTTCGGTGATTATCATCGCGAACTGTTTTATCTAAAAATAATGTTCAAATATATATATATATATATATATTTTATTTCCAAATTATATTTTTCACTAATAATTGTTTAATACATAAGATATTTTTCAACCGATATTTTCTTCAACGTAAAAGTTAATCTGTATCTAATACAGATTGATATAAATTTTATTATTTTACACACGCGTAATGAGAGAGATTGTTACGTCGTCAAATGACTGTTTCTCTGAAGCGCGTCAAGCAAGACTGAGCTTTCCGATTAAGAATAATTTATTCTTACGCCTATCCGTTATGAGATTTATCTCAAACGGAATGATTGGCTTTCGCCAATAAAAGAGCCGGCCACTTGTTCGACGAGTTACCGTTTCTCTCGGGCGACGCGACGTGCTATTATCTAGTAGTAGTAATAACGAGAGAGTAATAACATTAATGTTAACGACCGAACGACAATTAGAGCCGTTTGCTAGCGTCTACTAATTCATAACTGCTATCGGCTGACCGACCACTCCACGTGTCTGTGGGCTAGGTTTAAATAATCTTTAAACCATAGACACATGCAATACGATAGTTCCTCGTTAGCGAGATTAGATGCCTTCGAGTCGCGAGTCTCACTTAATTGACGGTTTATCATTAAGATCAGAATTTGATAAAAATTTCTTTACGCGGAGAGAAAAAGAATACGTGACAATAAAACAGAATAAGATTGCCGGGGAGGAGGAGGGAATTTTACGGGAAATATTCGTAGATGGTGATAGAACAGAACGACAAAGCCAAAGGTAAAATTGAGTAAATGAATGAATGAAGGCAGCTGATTTCCCTATAAGGACCCTACGTCTGTGAAACATAGTGCCTTTATATAGCCGTTCACTGTTATATTTAATTAGTGTTTAGAACGAGAGACAATTAGCGGTTATCACGCGTATCGGTAATTACTACTGTTACTGATATAAGTACTGTAAGCGCTTCATCGGCATCGGTATTACGATACTTCTGTCCGTTTTTGAAAAAGAAAGAAAAGCAAGAGGGACCCCTCTGCTCATACGTATCTTTCCTCCTTCTAAAATCATTTTGATCCTATCTCCTCTTTTTCTTCATCCGAAATTAACAGTATATACCCCCCGAATGGATTAAACTTTGAGTAAAGAAACAAGAAAGAAAAGATTTTGAATTTATGAATCTGTAGATGAATTTCGATTCTCCTGCCGTGTCCTACGTTCTAGGCGTACACTTTAAGTCCGTTACGATGTAACGAATAAACAAATAGTGCCTTACCACGAGATACTGTGCTTTTTGAAAGTTCAAATAGTCGGGGAGTAGAGAGACACGCTTTATAATACGGACAATTTAGATTTTTCCCGATCACGAATGCGCGCTTCAAATCGTAATCTTGCGAAACTAATAAAAGATTTGTTCTTTGCCATCACAGAAAATTTATCGATGTTAATCGTTTCTTTAAAGATCGAACGATTTTCATCAGAAATCGGCGTCGCAAACTTGTCAACAAATTTGGAAACTCAAAGAAAAAAATGTCTTCAGAAGTAACATTTCTAATTGCTTGTATTTGATTGAAAAAAATTTTCGACAAATTATGGACAGTTTCTACAATAATATTAAAAAAAATATTAGTCTGAATATGAAAATAAGAAAAGTATAAAATGTTTAAATATTGATAATTAATATTGGAATATAAATTCTTTAAACATTAATTATACAATTAATTATACATATATTGTATTTTTTGGAACGTAATTTTATCGTGACGACAGTTTTAAAATTCGCTGATGTAAATATTGGCGATCATTTTTTTATATTGGATTTCCGAATTTAGAATCAAGTCACAAGCGCAGACCGTCGTTCGCTTTGACATTCACGGATGAAAGAATTTGCGATCAAGCACCGCGATTCCTCATTTTCGAATCACGCGCAATAAGATATTTGCAACAAAAAAGTATATATAAAAAAAAAATATATATATATATATTATACATATAATCGATGCGGAAGGAGTGCACAACGAAGAATCGAAATAAAACAAACGTTGCTGTATATATTGTACATAAGACGTGTACGCACGCATGCGCATACGCATATATATTATACATACTATGTATATATTATATATTACGTCGGCGACGACGATAACAATAATAACGAATAGTAGTAACGAATAATAATAAAAAAGCAGGTACCGAGAGTAAGTGCGAATAGCGTAACGAAATAACGATATTATTAGATAACTCCCGAGAACTCATAATATTATTTTCAATATATCATTGTATTCGATTCTGAAACGAGATAACACGCTTACTGAGCGAACGTGATCGTATATCGAAGATCAAGGAAGTTCTCTCCACTCATTTTTACGAAAAAGAAAAATAAAACAAATATACGAAATTGCAGATTTGTATTCCACGTGTTATTAATCATCAATCACAATAACATCCTGCTTTTTATTCCTTTAAAGGCGCCTCCAGACGATATACGGCCAATGTATACGTCAACTTAGCACACTTCGCTAAATATTCACTACGTTCAATGTGGATAATTATGTATGTCATGTATGTGTATAAAATTTACTAATATTGGTATACGTTGGCCATACCGTCTGGAGGCGCTTTAATGACGAATTTTTTAACGTATTATATTATATGTCTAGTGATACAATAGTATAATAATTACGCTAAAATTTTTTTTTTTTTTTTTTTTTTTTTTTTTCAGGAGAATAACTGACAAATAACTTGCAACGTTTTTACAAAAGGAATTTATGGTTTAATAATTTTTACTAGAAGAAAATCGGTCAGAAAAAATTCTTTCTGAAACGTGTTAAAATCATTTAATGTAAAAGAATTTAATAATGATGAAACGATAGATTTTTCTAGTTTCTAAACGATTTCTAGTATTATCTGATATATTGATAATATACGAGGAACGGACGCGATTTTATGCACGATAGGTGCGCCATAAACATCGGGTGATTAAACTGTAAAACTCCTGCGGGGCTTACCAGGAAACGACACTTAATCCGTCTCGTTTAGAAGCTGGCAGATAAGTATCTTTCATTCGTCGTTCGATGATTAGTGCGTAATTGCTGTGCGTTAATTTGTCCTTCCTCGACGTAAGATATTTCAGATGATGGCTCTTTTCGTACATGATAATTAAAATACCTACTTCCTTTATCATACATTTTATTTCTATTCTTATATACATGTACATTATCGCAACGAAGAATCACTCGTTACAACTGCCGTATGCGATGTGTCGGCGACGTTTATTACATACTACACGCATATACAATACAAATTATAATAATAAATATTGGAATAATTATTTACAAATGACTCAATCGATAAGCGTTGTCAGATTGTAACAAAATGATATGGAATGTGTATCGTGTCAATCAGTGAAATTAGACAGTCATTGACGAGCCGATAAAATTAATGACTGATAAGAGGCGGTTTGTCATTTAATTCTTAATAATATTAAAGAAGTATCGATAAATTTGAATTATGCTAATTTCACTGAACGTTCTGATGCGTGACACGATTATGAAAGCTAGACGCATAGATTTTTGTGCGAGAACTTATCGATATCGATACTTAATATTTACAATAGGCGCTCTCTCGTATTCCAAACTTTGCAAATTACATATTTGGTAATAAAAAATAACGATGGCACATGGAAAAACGTAAGGTAGTAAAACATAAGCAGTAAGTGAGTCAGTTAATCACAGTAGAGTTCATTAACGTAAGCAATAACAAATAAAAAAAAGTTGATTTACTTATTGCTTACGTTTTACTGCTTAATTACGTTTCCTTTGTGTTACCATAGCCCTAACACAAAACACTTCATTCAAAACACTTCAGATTGTTTTCTTCCTAACGTGTCTGTTTTTTCCTCGAGCGTCGATATGTGTTTCTTTTCCTTATTCGGTATCAGGAAGCATAACAATCCGCCAACTGAAAACGATCGATTATTCATTTTTTTTCTTTATGTAATCATGGATTTTTTATATATTTTTTACTTGAACATCACTAAATTCCATTAATTCTATCCGTTAGATTCAAGTTTTAAAAAAGCTGTTCAGTAAATTCCAACAAAAAATCAACATAATATCACAGTCCTCAAAATATTATCAAAATTTTTTCGGAGATGGACATTCCATTGTGCTTACATATGGTAATACCAGCCACCAGGAATATTGGGATCTCGCAGCTGAGATCCAGCAGCATGCCGAACGCGAGATTACTCGTCACCGCGCCGAATCTTCCCAAGCATACCATCATGGACACCGCGGCGGCGGACACGTGCGTAGGAAAGACGTCGACCGCAACGCTGGTAATCACGAAATTCGCCGTGGCTGCCATCAAAGTGAACACGCAGGCAGTTATAAGGATCTGCAGCGAGGATCTCACAAAGTACATACCGAAGCCAGCGATGCCAACCACCAACATTGTGGTCACTGAAGGGAGAAGAAACCGTCAGAATCTTATTCTCGTTAAAAAGAGATAAAAAGAAAAAATAGACAGTGCTAATTTCAAACTATATTTTCTAAACGACACAGTATTATTTAAAAAAAAACTCTTCTCTATTCACACACACACATTGAAGGTAACCCTTACCTGGCATTGTTCGACGACCAACTCGATTTGCTAGATATCCAGAGGCGACATTACCGAACAAGCAAACGGCGTTGATTGTCAGAGAATTAATAAAAACCCGTTCATCTATGTGCGACTTGCATTCCGTAGTGCCTTCGTTTGCTAAAAGAGGAAGCGAGTCCTCTGGAGTAGTGTGATTCAACATCTGCGACTTACGTATTAGTTCACAGACCGTCACGGATACATTCGGATGTGATTGATGATAATTCTCGAAGCGATTGAACAATTCCGGTTGCCAGAGATTAAAGGCGTAGTATCTACATAAACGATCAATGACAAAGATAGGAAATATGTATACAATATTTTTATTAAATAATACCTTATTTTTATTAATTAAATTCGTGATTATATAAATTTTGTGACAAAAGCCTAGTTTATATCGTGCTCTTTATATATAGGTACTAACTTATAATTTTCTATTACATTATTTTAACTTCAGCAATGTGTATTTAAAGAATGAGGTAGGTACTAAATTAATATAATATGCGATGATTAGTTAAATACGTATATCATATATATTACATGTTTGTAATAATTTTGACGTATCGTCGAAATTAAGATAACTCAAAGAAAATTACTAATTAGTACCGGTGTCAAGTGCGATGTAAACTAACAGCCAAAAATAATAATATAAAAATGAAAAGAGAATATGAGTTTAATATCCCAGCAAACAGTAAATCCCAAGGTTGACATTATTTGTTATCATTTTGATGTCAAGTAACGTCTTTATATAACGTCAATTTAACGTTAAAATGACGATAAATAATATGTTTGTTTGCTGGGATATAGAAATATTGATAAACATTTTATACGAATTCGCATAATTTTTTTTTTAAATACTTTTTGAACAGAATATTAAAGATACGAATCTTTCGAAAATTAGAAAATTAAAAATACTCACCCGAACATATTCGTGAAATAGATTATCCACAAGAGGGAAGCGTATTTTAAGATGGGTGGCGATGCAATCATGCGGAATTGCCACCAAATATTTTTCAGCAATTCCATCAGTATGTCTGTCGAAGACAAGGACGCCTTATCTTTTTGTACTTCGAACACGGCGTCGGAGAGAAGCTCTTTCACCTAGTAAGAGTACATTGTAATAATTAAGAGAAAAATGAAACGCGTCATTCACAATTAATTCTGGCAATGCTGTTATGAAAATTATTTTTCTCTGGTACTTACCGGAAATTCGCTCTTATCACGTCCTGTATTCACCGCATAGATTGTTCGAAGAATCGCGAGAGCTTCGTCAGTTTTGCCTTGCGATACCAGAAATTTCGGACTTTCCGGATACGTTAAAGTTATAACGGCAATAATGAAAGTTGGTACGCTGATAGCGCCAAGGAATAATCTCCAAGAATTATACCGAATGCCGTAAAAATCGATGGATATCGGCAATGGTATGATTATCCATGCTAAACCTGGATGAACACCATTAATAAGTTAATATTGGCTTTCATGTATTCTGTTATTGTGATACATTTAATTGTTTATATAAATAGAACGTTTTTAAAGAAAGCAATTCTAGTTTTTCTTTATCGATCATTTAAAGAAAAGAATTCTTACCAGGCAATATTAACCAAGCGAGAGTGAAAAAGAAGCCTAGGTAACAGATGCTCTTCGCTCTGTACTTTTCCGCGTGGAACTCGCCAAGATACATATATACCAAGGAACCGGGTCCGCCCATTCTAAAAGTAACCCAAAAAATCGTAATCGACAGCACTATTAAAATATACTACATCATTTACCGTTTTATTATTGTACTTACAAGAATCCGCTTATAACTCTGAACATCAGCAGCAGCTTAAAACTTTGCAAAAAGCTCGTGATCAGCGTAACGATACTGTCGCCGAAGAGAGTTATCAGCAGGATATTTCTTCTTCCATAAGCACCTGCGAAGACTCCCCAAAAAAGTGCGCTGAACACCGAACCTGAAACGATCGAACATACGTGATTCCATTGATTAAAAGCAATAATACATCTAGATATCGCGTTCCCTTGTTTCAAAAATAACACAACTCAGGAAATTTAAATTATCATTACGAGTCAGGTGAACTTTATAAAAAGTCATCAAAATTATCGTAACTCAAAAAAGAGGATGATCCTTTAAAGTTATAAAATGAAAATAACAAAAATGACATTGTTAGTGTTATATACTTTATGTATTAATATTTTTGCATAATATTTTTATGTTACTTTCTAACATATCTATCTTGCGTTAAATTAACACAAAAATTCGAGTGGATAGTTTGAGGATCACGTGAAATATGTTAAAAAAATTTACCTATAAGAAAGGCGACATTTAACAGCCCTTTCTCTTCGGATCTCATATTTAGATCACATTCGGCTGACGGTAGAATATACGCGCTCGTCCCAAATTGGCAGCCGACGCAGATGAACATCACTCCGCAAACCAATAGGAAAGTGTATTGATATCTTCCATTACCTATGAACAATTGTAACAAATTTCAATAAAAATCTCAAAAATTGCGCGACTATTATTTATAATATTGTTTATGTATTTTTAATATTTTTTAGTTACTTTCAATAAATAATGTTCTCTCGCAACGACTTACCGCATATTTCCATGGCTTTCTCAAAATCTGCGGTACCTTCTTTGGTCCCATGATCCTTAGTCTCCTTCTCTAAAAAGTAAAAATTTCTTTGAATTTACTCGTCGAGAAATTTTCTCTGATAACAATGCGATATTTATAACAACAATATCTAAAATTAGATACATTATCTAAGATAGCACCTATATAATGATATATTTAATTTCAGTTTGATTATGTAAGGACAAAAGTAATTAGCGCCCAGTCACATATCTGAGATAAATTTATTTAAAAACACGTATACAGATGTATAGTTCCAACATCTAACTTTGACCGTAATAGAATAGGCACTTCTCTCTTACATACGATGTATTCATATAAGCGGTCCTGTTCCTAATCTTAATATTATCTAAAATTGGAAAAATCTTTACGTAATGCTTGAGATCTCTGTAGATCACGCTATGAACACGTAATTCAAACTATATCGCGTTCACGTACACGGTGAATATTCACATGAGAATACGTGTAAGATCCGAGCAGAAAATAGTTGCCATTTACATTTCGTTTCTTTGATAGAACGGCAAAATTTTGCGATATGTCATGCATGTATATACTGATTACGTGCGCCCAAATTTTCCTACGTTATACATCTTCAGACGAATTTGTGAAATTAAAACAATGCGCGTTTTGTAATGTCGACGTGATTCATTTAGTCATATCTTTTATAATAAAGATGTTTATTTTCACTATGATCTCGAAGAAATGTCGAAGTATTATTGAAATTAGCTTATCGATTTTTTGTCACGCTCATTGGAGTTAAGTAAATAGATAGATGTCAATAATTATCAGATGAAAAATGCAATTATTGTTTTCATTAATTGAGCGTAATATTGATTAATAAAGATTTCATATACTGGCGAAATTTGGCTTGGGACATCGTTTTCAACATCTAAAAATCTGTAATCTTTGAAAATTTTTAATTAGTGTGATGTACGATAATCTGTAATCATTGAAAAGTTGTGTATTACCACAGTTGACTGCAACTGCATAACGGCGGTTTCCTTTCATTATTCAGTTATTTTCCTATCAAACTATTGTAAACAATACTACCTAGACGAGTGTATGCGGAGATATTAACTTGGAATAGGGGGAGAAGATAATAAGATTTACGCGGACTAACAGAATTATGGTGGCTTGCTTCTGACTTACTAATTGATGCAGTGATACCGATAAACAATGTTAAATATGCACAGAATGAGCTAATTAAATCCTTCTGAAATGAAGTGCGTCAAGAGGGGCACTTTGATGTTGCGATCAAAGAAACATGCTGCGTAATATTAACGACGAATGAGTTTGTCAAGTATTCCCCCCACCACCCTCTCTTTCTCTCTCTGGAACACAAAAAGAACGATTTAGCTAAAAATTTAATTTTGTTAGACTATCAAAGTACTAATCATCGGTCGCTCGTAAGTATTAAAATATCAAAACCTTTTACAGCATTATTTATTACGTTCGAACTAATTATTTTAAATAATATTTTCAGATTTATATCTAGCTAAATTTTTAGATTCTTCAGTAAAATTATTCGAGAATCGTATCGAGAAAAATATCTCAATATTGCTAACGGTAGAAAAACGCCACTGCGTAATGTTAAAATTATCGAACGAGTTTATTAAATTCTGTTGAATCAACGTGTTGCATCAAAAACAGTTAAATACCACGAGCAAGAGATGCATTGTGTCATTTCTCAAACATTTCCAAGTTTGTCAAGAAAATTTCCACGCTTTGTTGTCATCGTAAAATTCTGATTGACAATTTGCGTAGATAAACATTAGAGTCGTAAGTAAACGTAGCGTAATTATTCTTGAATATCGTTCTAACGCTGATTCTATTTGTTAAAGATTTTGAGGAGCTTTTCGGATAAAGACATGAAAATACGGAACGACTTCGAGCGAGGTTACTGTGCGACTCATCTTTATTTCGTCATCCGTATTTTTTTCTAATGAACTACATGTGTTTGTCTCGTGCAAGTAGTGTTATTTTCCGATTGTTTTAATGCAAAGGTAAATCAGTATGTTGCGCCGCGTTGACGTAAAAGCTTGCTTTTATGAACTGCATTTTTTTGCCCTGTTCTCTTGCAATTCAAGTATCTTACAGATATAATAATTGTAGGATGAATGGTACGCAAATTCTACTGCTATTGTTCTCCACGAGATACAATTGTTTGTAAAATGCAATGCCAATTTGTCATGGTTAATAAACTGTCTTCTGAGTAAAAATATATAACTTCGCGCTTTTTTCTCGAAAACTTACGTGTGTAAATATACAGCGCGAATTAGTACTAATTTTATTCATGTCGTCATTTTGACATCGTTTACTGTAAAGTGACGTAAGATTAAGTGGCACATGCATTCAACAAATATTATAATTTTGCCGGATTTGAATTGAATAATTACACATCAAATGGCATGTTAAAATAATAGCGCTGAGACATTACCGTGTCTCCTGCTAATTAGAGGAGTAATTGCTTTTTGCCATTTCAGCGGAATTGATGCCGCAGTGATTACATTATAGCTTGCAATATTTCATTTTGAACGACTTATGATTATTATTAAACGCAATGGAATATTTTGAAACAAGCTCTGAAAATGAAAATATTGTGACAGTTGTAATAATTCTGCATAAGTAGTAAAGACGATGGTTACTAATAACTCCGTCCTTTTATAGAGTATGTAACAAGATTTAGATATGTTAGATCGTGCGATGATAATGAGAAAAATTAAAACAAGATTTTTTTGTTGAAATATATATTTACGCTTTCTTGGAATTCATTTCTTTGTATTCCAAGCTAAATAAAATTTATGTACTTTGAATTAATTTTTTAAGATCGAAAATTAAAACTTATACGGACCTTTCTGGTAAAAAGGCAAGCCAAAAACTTGGCGCCAAGCAGAAGCGACAAAATAGGAAGGCAAACGGTGTTATCCTAGCAATTTCAAAGAACCAAATTTAAATCAGTTGGCGAAACCCAAAGACATCTCACAAATTCTCGTGCCAAACGAGAAAATAAATGAAAAACAGATTTCAACCCCCGTCCCACAATCGCGTCGTACTGAAAGCGCGGCGCGTTTCACTGAAAAGTCTCACGGAATCTCTGTTCCAAAAACGTGTTCCAAGTTTGATCTCAATTCTACGATTAATCTCTCTTTAGCTAAAGGAAAAAGTCCACAGAAATTTTAATTTTCAATCCTCAAAAATTAATTTAAAGTGCACAATGTTTATTTAACTTGCAATGCAAACCTCTCGATTGCGTTACTTTTTAGACATTGGATATTGTTGAAAATATTCTGAATACAAGACTGACCTATAGAAAGAGAGACGGTGGAGATGCGGCTGACCATAATGCAGTGGAGATGGGTCTTGAAAAATTTCCAGGACCAGAGCTACGGCAGGCACCAGTCAAGTCGGTCGCGAAGAAGCCTACGACTGTCGATCGTGGATTCGTAGGTGATACAGAGTACTACAGAGACGCCTCCCTTAGACCGTCACGTCACTCGTCGATGACGATAGATCAACGTATCGATCGGTGCCGCCGTCGCAGCGCTTTAAATATTACCTTACTCGCGAGCGGGAGTACGATCGCGCGAGTAGGCGCAATCCGAAAATCCTTCCCCACTTACCGTACCGCTCGCACAATTGGGGATCGCTAGTTCATTATTCCATATGAATGCATCTACGTCGCAGTAATAATTATCTATTACAAATATCTATTGTAAACGCGCTTATAATAGAATATGTGACGCAACTCTCGCGCAACGTTGTAAAAATCCAATATCTATAACACCAAATTATTTATTTATTTATTTATTGCAATTATATTACATATTTTTTTATTGTAACTGACTCGAAGACGCATGTATAATTTTTTCTTTGCAAAGTCGAATTTATTTATTGATATTTACAAGGATTGAGCTCCGAAAACTCTTTTTTCTTATAAAAGTGTTTACAATATACATTGAAAGAATTGTCACAAAAATTATCAAAATTTATAGAACATAACGAAAAAAAATAATGATACAGAAGAAGGGCTACGAGCCAAATAAATTCGTTTAATTTAACAAAAATAAATATAAAACAAAACGTTTCGATTCCAATTGAGTTATTCTCAATGTTTAAAATGTAACAATTATGAGATACTTATTTGATGATTAGTGTGTTCGATTCTCTGTATTTTTGTTTCCTTGACTGACTACTTGTAACATAGATTTTATTGTATGTCTTGATGGTGAATATAAAATTCTTATCTTTCTTTTTATTTTCGGTAGAATCAAATTTAATTTTAAATAAAATTTATCATTATTTGTCATATTACATTAATATTTCTTATTTAGAACAAAAAAAAGTAATTTGATTAAATCAAAATGAATTATATAGATAAGAGAAACTTTTTACATAATTTCACGTTCACAATCCATTTTTAAATTAATATACTATCCTTGAGTTTTTCTGCTTTTTTTTCATGTACCGATAGGTTAATGATCTAAATGAAATTTAAAAAAAAATATGGAGATATACTTGTTCACGTGGCTCTCCGTGTGCGTAGCATAAATCACGTGTAACAACAAAGATCCAAAATTAAGAAATATATACAATAATGAGAACATGTCGACTTTCGGTAGAACAGATGATAGATTTGTTTAATTAACTCGTAATCTCAGTTTGCCATTGCGTCGGAAAGCTGTTGGAGAACCTGTCAGACGGAAAGTCAATCCTCACATGATCGGTCTGACAATATTTGCTTTAATTACGAATGAATTAAGTTGCCCCACGACGACCACCAACGAACATTTTATAAATAACCACACTTGCGTGCGATCGAGATCTCACTAAGCGTGAGCGTGCTCTTCATCTTCGAAACTTGCACAATTGGATGCCCTAACGACTTCACTATTATTGACCACTGAAATGCTCCGTAATGTCAAATGTAATGACTATAGTTTACTTTTAAACTCCTCGAAATATTTTGCAGCAATTATGTAAGAGAGGCTTCCGTAAGAATTCACTTTTGATCCTCCATAAAAATTGTATGTTTTATATGACGTAAATTGCTCATATTTCTGAAGTTCTTTAAATTCTTGTCACAGATAACGTTACCTATCCTTAAACATATCGTAGAGTTCCAACAACGAGAAGGTGTGTACGCTTATACAGTAGGTGCCAGTCGGGGCGACGCGAGCAATTACAAGAATGTTTGTCGTGGGTGCGGTTCTTCTTTCATTAAGGAGACCAGAAACCCTTGAAGAACAAAAAATTAACGTATGTTCATTGACCTGAGAATTAGGACCGGATCGATATTCAATTATCGATATAAGTTGCAATATTCGTTATCAAGAACAAAAAATTCACAGTTCAAAATGTGAACCCCTTTTATGTTGACACGACTACATGAGATATTTACATGACATATTTGTTATAGCATCAGAGATATTGACATTGTAGTGTCAGTATTTGGGTATCTTTCGAGATGACAAAACGGTACTCATAATCATACTGATATATTCTTAATATTAACGGCTTCTTGCGATAATTGTAATTAATTAACTATAATTAACTGCAAATCAACTGTATTTTAATCACACAGCTATAATTTATAAAATAAGTTGTTAAAAAGAATAAAAATTTAATAGATATTTATTTCTTATTGAATATAAAAAGATATATATAAAATTCAAGTATTCAAAGAATAAAAATAAAATACAATTAACGGATTCTGTATGATTTATATTATATATAAAGAAAATACTTTCAGTCAATTTGTTTGAACTTGTGATATTTACTTTGTGATGTTATAGTTCTTGCATCTTTCATTAAAAATCTCGATGGGCGAAACATTTTTAAGTTTAGTAACTATTATAATTCCTCAATTCGAAACATTTAAAAGCATTTTTGATTGAGATTTTCGTTTGTTCATTTATCTATAATACATGAGTTTGCACTTGTGTATTAATGTGTGTGCGTGTCTGCGCGCATTGAAAATGTTATAAAAGTAGTAACTGTAATAATATGTAATTATAATTCTACAGCTTCATCTATCACTGGATTACCTCATTGATTTCTATTTCCAACGATATTATTTAATACAGTACTACTGTGATATTTAATTATCACAGCGCATAGAAGTTCTTATCTCTACTAATATAGATAGACGCGTAGACGTGCGTACATACAAGTAGATATATGACATTTATTTTATATAAGTATATATACACACACATATACATACATATGTATATACGAAAATAGAAAAACAGAGAGAGAATAATTTCGATAATAAATATAAAAATATAAATAATGAGCTATTGGAACTAAACGCAGATTTTTTTTAATATAATACATTATTATAATAATAAAATATACAAATATAATATTAAATCTAATCATACAATGTTTTAGAATAATTTTAGCAACTTTGTTTAACAAATCATATGCGTGCGTGCGTGCGTGCGTGCGTGCGTGCGTGCGTGCGTGCGTGTGTGTGTGTGTGTGTGTGTGTGTGTGTGTGTGTGTGTGTGTGTGTGTGTGTGAAAACGCTCTGTACACATATACACACACACACACACATATATGTATATATATGTATGTACGTATGTATAATACAGAATGTTCTGAAACTTCGTACATGACCCTTTTAACAAAAATTGCTAAGATTATTCTCTGTCTTTCTATCGTCGTATGAAAATCAATGTAAAGATTCCTAAATTATAATCTCTTTAACCATATAGAATCGTGACGTTGTAAGCGAGAAATGACGTTGTTGTTTTTTGCATATCACATGTAAATAAAACAATTTGAGTAAAATAAGATATCGATCACTTTAAAATTCTTGTACAAATGGACCGAAGCTATTCTTATCCCCCTTGACAGTCAGTAAATAGTCGTAAAAGGCACGTGAAATACATTTACCAGCAATTAGTCAATGCGCATGCGTAGCCTATTTTCACTTGTTTTTTACGACTATTTACTGACTGTCTCGGGGGGGTAAGTATATAACTTGTGGCCATTGTTACAAGTGTTTTAAAAAGCAATTTCATTCTTTTTTGTTATCCAAATTGTCTTTATTTGCAAATGAGAAGACGTACACTTCAACGTATCATTTCTCATTTATGACGTCACAATCTTATGTGGTTGCGGCAATTATTCAAAAGCCTTGAATTACAATAACTTTAAATTACATAGGATGCTTTTTTTTTATGAAAAATCTTAGATACGTAAGATAATTTGGGATTTCTTTAAAATTGTCATTAAAAAATCTTGGCCTATATATAATATTCATAATAAATTCTTTATACCGATATAACTATTACCCCTCGTTTACCCCCCCTCTTCCAACAATACGGTACCATCGCACTACACATTTTTCTAACACCGAATCTTGAGAAAGCTTTACCTTTCGCGGTGAATATAATGTCATAATCAAGATTCATCATATATTTTTAAGCATAATCTTACACTCGAGAGAATCAGAAATAGATAAAAGGGCAATCAACATTGATTAAGGGGGGGGTATGGTTAATTCGGCCTAAAAATGACCCATTTTTACGAATTTTTTGACGCGCTACTGTTAGTGGAAGTAACTTGAATTGATGTAGGTATAATAAAACAACATTTGAAGAACATCTAGTAAAAATTATATTGAAAAATGTCAAGAAATAACAAAATGGCGGCCGTTTTTCGGAAGCACCTCCAAAAAAAGTGGTTTTGCGGTGAACAGCATAGCCCATCAGCGGATCAACTAAAATCAAAAAATGAAGATGTTTTGAGAAGTTAATAAGATTCTCGAGGTAACGCTGTCGAGTTTTTTTTTAATTTTTTTTAGATTTTTGGCAGCACTTGAAAGTCAAAAAATCGATTTTTGATCAAAAAAACGACATATTTCTTACTGTAAAATGAAAAATAAGTAAAGAAAAAATAAAAACTCGACAGCGTTACCTCATGAATTTAGTTGTGAATGAGTGTACCAAATTTCAAAACGATCGGTTCAGCCGTTTTGGCTGGAGAGTGTTCAATGACTTTGAAAACACGACTGTGGGAAAATCGCTTTAAAGTTTTGTACACTGAAAATTCCGAGTTTTTTGTGTTTACTTACATCGAATCATCAATGCCAGGCCCGTAAACTGAGCTTTCATCTGCAGCATCTAATGCGTCTTTCTGCTGTTGCCTACGTTCAGTAGAGAAGGAATTTGGGGACAACAAAAGAGCATGAAACGGTAGCCAGGTAAGCGCACCGCGCAGGTATGCGAAATCGACGTTCGAGGTACACTTACTTAAAAATTCATATCTCCGTTAGTTTTACTCGGATCGACTTCAAATTTGGACACAATATTCTTGAGATGTTGTGCATTCATATAAAAAAATAAAAACAAAATGGAAAAAAAAAGTTAAAAAAACCATACCCCTTAATTATGACGGTACAATTTATAAATCGATAGAACACTCCTATCATAGAGAAACGAATATTTTGACACTTAATTTCAAAAATGCTCGATTTTTCCATTGTTATTATTAGTATAGAAAATAAAAAATCACTATTTGACAATTATAAGTTTTATTCTTATTTTCTAATATTGAAATTTGCATTGTATTTTTTTATTGAAAATTTTGTCGGAAGATTAATAAGGGCTATGAGGTCTAAATTGTCCGATTAAATAATACTTTCTACTCGGTTAAGATTTAACGTTCAGTCAAGATATCTAATTAAATTATAGATATAAGTCGCAATATTTGTCATTGCGAGAACAAAAATATCAAAATTTAAAATGTGGACATCTTTTATACCGATATGACCTTACAACATATTTACATAACATTATAGCATCGCAGTTAAATTGAAATTGTTGAGTTAGTATTTAAGGATCTATCGAGGTGACAAAGCGGCGCTCACAATCATGCTGATATATTTCTAATATTATAACGGCTTATTGTAATAATTATAATTAATCAATTGTAATTATTGTAATTCAACAATATTTTAATCAGCAGATGGGTGTAATATATAAAGTAAGTTATTTAAATGAATAATAATTTAATAGATATTATATTTATCTCTATATATATAGTTAAAGATATAAATATATATCTATATAAAATGTATTTTAAAAATACCAAAACCCAATCAAATTACTAAGAATCCCACACGATTTATGTAAAGAAAATGGACAATTTACATAAATTATTTTTTCAGTACAGTTCTTACAGCCCTCATTAAAAACAATCGGAAAAACAATTTTATGGCTAGTTTGTAAGTTAGAGAAATTTAAAAGTACTTGTATATTTGCCTACATGAGTTGCAAATTGCAATTGCGCGTATGCATCTGTGTGCGTGTTTATGTGTATAGTGGGCACATGAATGCGTTATATATTTGAAGATGTTATTTTAATAAATAAATCTATAATAAATATGACGAATAATATATGTCACATAATTATAATTCTACAATTTTATCTATCGTTGATAGATCACTTTATTGAATTCTACTTCCAACAATAATGTTGAATATGGTATAGCGCTAGGAAATTTAATTATCAAGGAGCGTGCAAGTTTTTATCTGTGCTGATAAACACATACCCATACAGAATTTATATTTATTACATATATGCATAGCATGTATACGATTCTTTAATTAAAAGTTGCTAAAATTATTTTTTCGTAATCTTTATATTGTCATATTAATAATTAAAATATTTATAATATTAAAATTTAGGAATACATGAGTAACCGCTCTCTGATGAAAAAAAGTTGATAGAAAACGATAGAAAAATCCTATTATTTCGAATATGGAATCTGGTTTGTATTTTCGTAAATTTACTATCTTGAATCAAATCTTATAGGAATTTTGTACAAATTTTATAGACAATAATAAACTAGAAGAAGAAGCCTATAACGGTCGAAGCTAGATCAACGTGCTTATAATAATTGTGTGAAATTTTATATACTGCGTATGTAGTCCCCCCCGCGACGCTGATAGATTTTCAGCATTGACGCATACATATTCACTACCGCAGTAATATCACTAAGTTAAATTAACAAGCAATTTAACAAATTTGATGCCATAGCATCTTATAGATCTTAATACTATGTTGAAAGACATATATTAAAATTTAACGATTTTTATTATTAATTTAATGTAAATTAAATTAATAATAAATCAAATTCCGTGAAAAATAAGATTGCGAAGAATATAACAAGTTGGCGTTTCGTCCCGGCTTCCACTACTGGACTCATCAGTAAGGTAATGTAGTGGGAGCCTACCTTAGACGCCGATGTAAGTTATTAAATCGATAAATTTTATAGAACTTGATAAAATACGATAGAATAATTTATATAATAAATATTAGTAATAAACCTCCTTAATATTTAATTACCTATTATTTAAAAAAATAAAATAATCGGGCATAAAATAAATATATAAAATATATAGACTTAAAAATCTTAAATACTTCCTTATTAAATAACTTCATCCCATTTCTAAAGGGTTTTATAGCCGATCCTGATGCTTGGAAAGTCGACGACAGAAAATAATATAAACTTATATAAAACAATACAAATTGATAGAAATGCTATCGTTCTTAACCGTTCTCTATCAACTTTATTTTTACCAATGCTGCGGTTATATTAGATTGTAACTGAAGAGATACACAGCATCAACTATCTTTACGAATAATATAATTATAAGGCTCTGTAAGTATAAACAATATAGATATAATAAGGGTAAAGAGCCAGTAATGTAAAAACGGTTACAAAACATAAGTTTCTACTCCGATCGGGTCATTTTCAATGTTACAAAAAGTAATATTATTAAATTACGTATTACAATAATTAATAAGAATTATTAAAAGTTAATAATTAATTCAAAACATCTTGATGTATGTGATAAATGAGTTCGAAATCTTCATTTTATGTTATTGGTCAATAAAATAAAAAGTAGCAAAAAAGTAACATTCTTGTCATTTATATGAGTAAAATGATGAGCGTCCTTTAGTTAAAACACAAAGAAAATAGTATCACATATCTTATTACAATTTAAGCTAATTTGCAGGACTAAAAATCTGATTTGAGTGATATCAGATAACGTAACGATTATTAATTATTGTAACATGAAATTTAATGATATTAATTTTTGTAACACGGGACGCAACGCGCACATTCGCAGAAAAAACTTTTACGCCCTTGTATCGAAAAGTACTATTCTGCTTCCAATTTTTTCTTTTTTAATAACCCATTTTTATGTACATAATGACTGGACTACATTGAAAATGGCCCGATCGAAATCGAAATGTTTTGTTTATGTAAAAATGTTTATATCATGATTATTTGTATTAAAACCATTTTTACATTACTGGCTCTTTGACCTTACTATATCTATATAGATTTTTACGACTGTTTTAAAACAATCTCATTATTTTGTTTTATCCAAATTCTCTTTATTTATACATGCACAAAAGAAACTTCAACATGCCATTTTTCTGTTCGAGACATCATTATCCTTCGTGGCCGACTACTTAGGAGCCTTAATAATTATGATTACTTTGAATTGTGTGCATACCTTTTTTTCATATAATATTGCAGATACGTGCAGACATGGGATTTCTGAAATTATTATTAAATCTCAGTCTATATATAATATTGGCCACAAACAGAGTTTTCTGTGACAATGATAATTTCGAAATTATGTATCGTTTACCCAACAATACTATACCATTTTCCTATAACATTTCTCTAATATTGAATTTTGAAGAAGACAACGTTACTTTTCACGGTGAATCCAATGTTAAAATCGAAATTCGTCATACATCGATAAATAATATAAATTTGCATTCAAAAAAATTAGAAATCAATGAAACGGCGACAACCTTGATTAATGACAATAATACAGTTTATAAACCGATAGAACATTCCTATAATAATGTAACGGATATTTTGACACTTAATTTCGAAAATGCATTAGCACCCGGTTTTTATATTCTTAATATGAAATTTGCCGGTGTTATACCTGAGGGTAGTTTTGACAAAAGTGGTTTGATGACATTTTCGTATACAAATAAGGGAAAAAGTAATAGGTATGTAGACATTAAGCTATTAAAATATAAAAGATATTATAAGATATTTAAAACACTTGCTAAATATAGTTTTGCAATTATACGCTCAAAAACGTGTACATATGATTGAACATATATGTAGGTATATCATTAAATATATATGTATAATGTAATATTTAGCTTTCAAAATAAAAAATATTATGGCTTTCTAGTTTTATATTCTAAAAAAATTATTATTATAAAACGATAAATATAAATAACTGATTATCTTTAAACTTTTATGTATCCAACATAAGTGAAAAATTTGCCGTTTCTTAAAACATTTTGTTAAATTTTAGAATGATCGCAACGTATTCGGAGCCGACAGGAACTAGACAAATATTTCCATGTTGGGACGAACCAGCGTTCAAAGCCACCTTTAATATTTCTGTAATGCATCATAAAAAATATACGGTATTGTCAAATATGCCGCAAGTACGACAGCAGTTGGTTGAAGAATATGATATGATGCGGACATACTTTGACACCTCTCCAATAATGTCTACTTATCTCTTGGCGATTATCGTAATCCCTTCATCTGATTATGTCCGCATTCCCATCAAGAATGAAACCATCAATATATGGTGCAGATCATCTTTGAAATCGCAAGTAACATTCATGCAAGGTATTGTTGAAAAGGTCACGCCATTCTTGATCCAATATACCAATAATTCTGAAAAGGTACCAAAAACGGATCACTTTATCTTACCGAATTTTGCGGTTGATGGTATGGAAAATTGGGGACTTATTCTTTATAGGTAACCACATAATTGAAAAAATTAATTATACTATTAAAATAATAGCTAATATTGTTTTTAACTTTCAAAATTTGCATATTTAAAGAATGCACATAATTTCATGTTTAGATTATCTAAAATAATTAATGTGTTTAACATATATTTTAGCTTCCTCTTTTTTTCAATCCAATTATACATAGCTCTATACATATCCAATCCATGTACATATTCAATCGTACATATATGGTATATACACAATGTTTTAAAGTATGACCCAATTCTTAAATCTTAGAAACGGATTTAGATATGAAAAAAAATAAAAGTTTTTATACATTAATGGAACAGATGATGAAAATATGGGTGTAACCCGTTAAAGGCCAAGTCAATGTGACCTATACTTTCTTATACAATAATTCTCCATTTTTTACTACACACTCTCGTAGCTTATCTTGCGAGGTTTTCGAAACACTATATATAATAAAGTTTCTACTTTGTTAAATATTTTCTGTAGCTAGACATATGTGATTTAAAAGTTATGATATTGCCGACATTAAGATAATGCAAGGTGTTCAAATGACCTTTTAGATATTGTTCAGGATTATGATCTCAATAATTTCATTTATCAAGATCAAGGTCATTAGATATGATCAGACGGTTCTCTTATTTTTATACTTATATACCTAAGAAAGTTTTCTTCGTTGAATCGATGGCTTTCAGATGAAAAATTCTTTTACGTAAATTCTTATGCATAAGAAACTTTTATACATAAGAAAAGATATTTAAAAAAATATATAATGTATAAAAAAAATTCAAACCTGAATTATTCGCGAATAACATAATTACTTAATAGTACTTATATCAAATTGCATATTCGCATGCAGGAACATTTTATGTCATATTATGTTCTTTCAGAGAATCGTCAGTTATCTACAATGATAACAAACATCCAACATATAAGAGACAAGATATAACAATGGTAATAACACATGAAATTGCACATCAATGGTTTGGTAATTTAGTCACTCCATCTTGGTGGTCTTACCATTGGTTAAAAGAAGGTCTTGCTTCGTTCCTTCATACGTACATCATAGACAAGGTTATTTAACATTATTATACAATGCAAGGTTACTTATTTTATTAGAAAATACTTTAAAATATATTTTAATCTAAGATTAAAATAATGGCAATAATTTAAATACAAATAAATAGGGCGTTTTTATGAAATGTATTATTGGTGCGTTCGACAATGTAAATCATCAGATGCGAACTAGCAGATGGTGAGCTTGATCACGTGATTAAATTAATTTCGAACAATACAGAGCTGTCATAGTGTTACTTATGGTAAATGTTAAGAATTTCGGTTGCCTCAAATTTTGATAAAAATGCACTCAATGGATATTTTCGCGTAAAAATGGAGATTTGACAAGAAAAAAGAACGTTGCTCTGCCCTGTGAACTGAGATCCCAAAGAGAACGAAACAATCAAAATAATGTCAATTTGACATCATATTGACCGAATTTAGTCTTTTTTTTTTATCATGATAAAAATCTCGATCTCAAATGATAAAATAAAAAAGATAATAGTAAAAAAAATGTCAATATAAAGTCATTTGTAAGTCATTTGAGATCGAGATTTTTATCATGATCAAAAAATGATTAAATTCGATCAATATGATGACAAATTTTGACATTATTTTGATTGTCTCGTTCTTCTTGGGATATTAAAGTCGACAACTATTCAGATTAGGAAATATGTCACAGCAATGATTCATTATTTTTAAAACATAAACTCACTGTTTTAGCAAAGTATTTGTTTTTAGTACAGAAGAATTGTGTTTTGAAAGCAGTGAACCTTGCTGTGACAGATTTTTTAACTTGAATAGCCGTTGACTTTAATGATTAAGAAACGTCTTTTTTTGTTGTCAAATCTTTATTTTTACGCGAGAACACATCGATTGAGTGAATTTTTATCAAAATTTATGGATCTTCTTAACATTAAGTTTATAATTTGAAAGATCATATTCAATTTAGGCGCGAAATCTTGCATTAGCTCTACAAGCTCGGTCTTTGAATCCGAAGTCGATTGAGGAGCTCAATTAGTTCTAGAAATATTAATATCGAAAGTAGATGACATGACATGTGACAGAAAGATACGAGTTGTCAAACGATTTTCGAAGTGAAAGAGCAAATGGATGCCTCCAATTTGCAATGCCGAACGCACCTTATATATTATAAAATAAAATTAAATAAAAGATAGCATAAACTTTAATTTAGAATTATATTTTAATATTATATAATTTTGAGTAATCTCTAATATACTTAATAATAATTAAACTATAGATATGACCCTTCTTAAATAGTTTGATATAAAAAGGTTGATAGAATGTAAGCGCTATGAAAAAAAATTGCAGTTTTAAAGTTACAAAGTGACAAATTAATTTTGTTTGTTTCTAATGAAAAACTTTTAATCGAATTTTTTAATATTCAATTACATTATATAATTTTTTTCTTCAGATTTTCAAAAATTGGCGAACAATGAATTTTTTTGTGGTTCAAATGTTCCACAATTCCTTGATGTGGGATAATGGTAGTTTGAATCCTGTCACATTGAAACTTGATAGTACCTTTAACAAAACGGCTATACTTTCTTTTGTAATTTATTTTAAAGGTAAGATTACGTAAATATACAATAATTAAACTCTATTACATTATCTGTTATATATTTCTTAAAATATGTAGTACAAAGAAAAAGAAAAAATAGAAGACTAACCAAACAAATTCTTCTTTGGCACAATATATGCTTATGTATGTGTTATAATGTACATATATGTATATATACATATTTATATATATTAATATTGTATATCTTAAATTTATATGTACTTTAACTATATCATTAATCGATATTTTATGCACTATCATAGCGGCAATTATATTGCGTATGTTACAAAATACAATTACCGAAGAGGTATTTCAAAAGGGTCTTATCACGTATTTGACCGCACAGTAAGTGTGACATACATTTATCATATACCTTAATACTAAAATATATATAAATGTAATAATACTTTTTGTATTTATGTTGAAAAGTATTTTATCAAAAACATGAAATTATATCATATTACTATTCTATTATAAACCATTCACAGTTTATTAATTATAATTTAACTCTTCGATTACTTTGGAGTTATATTTTAAATTGTTACACGTAAAATATTCATAAATTTAATTGCATATTAATATTCACGTAAATTGTTTAATTTCAATTTATATTTCTCGATGCATGACTACATCAATGATGTCATTTTTTTCTAATTTAGTGAATATGGATCGACTGTTCCGGATGATTTGTGGAGCGCCATGCAAAGTGCTCTAGACAAATCTGACGTCCCGTTCGGTACTAAAGATTACAGAATAAATGAAGTGATGGACACATGGATGAATCAAGACAGTTATCCAAAGGTAATTGTCAGGAAAAATAACACAACTGGCGAAATAATAATATCTCAAAAATGTATTTACGGAGGTAGTAATAAATGGTGGATACCTATAACTTTTGCCACACAGTCCAATCCAGATTTCTCCAATACTGTACCCAGATACTGGTTACGACCAGATCAAAATGTAACCTTTCTAATTGATCCAAATGATTGGATTATTGTCAATGTACAACAAACTGGTGAGTATAAATCAATAAATTTATGTTCATTTATTTACTTTATTTAAAAAGCAGTGAAATTCCTAAAAATCCTTTTTAAAAAAATATATATATACGCCAAAAAAGGCATGGAATTCTTCTTAATCAAATATCAGACATGAAATAAATGTAATTAACCAAGTATTTCATTACGCAAAACACATAAGATAAACCGAAAGTGGTTAAAATTGTCACCTGGATTATAGTAAAGAAAAAACTTGGCGTGCTCGGGTCGCATTAATTGTACTTAAATTAAAAATATAGAAATAATAGACATATGTATATAATATACGTATATATGATATAGCTTATGAGACATAAAAATATACTCACAAATAATAGATGTGATGTGAATTATGAAGAAATAATATTTAGATATATTAGAAAAACATTATAGACACATTTACAAGTTTAATAAGCTATTATTAACATCTCTTCATTGTTAAATTATTCTTTTCATATATTATGTATATTTGCAGAATATTGCATTTTAATACGCAAATAATGTAATAACTAATAAGTATATATATACATATAATGAGTATATATATATATACATATATATATATATATATACTTATTACATTAAAAAAGCAACGATAAATATTTGAAAATATGTCTCAATAAATTCAATTAAAAGGATCTAATAATAAATGTAATGCGACACACATAGGATATTATCGTGTCAATTACGATATCAAGAATTGGGAAAAAATTTCATCTTACTTAAATTCTGAACAATTTACAAATATACACGTTCTTAACCGTGCTCATATCATCCTGGATCTTTATACTTATGTGGATGGACGAATAAGTGGATTCTTCTACATTAATCTTATAAAATATTTATCTCAAGAAGTCGATTACGAGGCATGGTATCCATTATTGTTCCGAATTCTACCATTATTGAAGAATCTTTTTTTCCTATCAGAGGCCGTATATGTCAAGGTAGATAATGACAGAATTCATAAACGTAAAAGATACATTTGTAGTATTATAGTTGGAGTCTTCAGTTTATAGTTTTCTACATTTACAAATTCTCCATGAAGTCAATCGAAATATTGCATCGCAAATATGATACACATACACTATATTAAGATATTATACATACACACTATAGGCATAGTATAAATACAAATTAAAACGCCATAAAATGTATAATAGGCATACCTTATTTTATAATGTTATATCTTGATTATACATAGTAAAGTTAAATAATACAGTACAATAATAATCATTTTGCGAACACATAATGCTCACTATAATGAATACCCATTACTGCTTAGCGTGTTATATGTCTTATCGTTTGCACTATAATGAAATTTCAATCATAATAAGACCTATAAAAGTTACATTTAACGGTATAATATAAAATAAACGTTTAAATTATGAATACATATATGTGATTTCTCTATAAAGTCATTTTGAAAAATACAGTCTTATTTATAAAAAAGAAACTAAGCAATTTCAGATACATAAAGATGAAGTTTTCATTATAAATTTGTGTTAGGAATCATCTTTTAGAATCTTTTGAAATACAATATATATAATCGAAAAATGTTCTATATGTATTCCGTAATAAAAATTGTAATAATCCTAGAAATTCCAGATCTCTGAATTAATTTTTACAGAATTAAAAAATTTATATTTAATTGTACACTAAGAAAAAATTTATTAAAATTTATTAAAATTTAGTAAATATCTTTTTGAATAGTGTGGGATATTTACTTAAAGTAAATAAATATTTGGAGAAGTAAAAAAAATGGTAGTTGAATCAAAATAATATTCCTTGTCCAAATTTTCATCTTATCTTTATCTAGCTAATTTTAAAATCATCTATGCACAACACTGCTTGTATCTAATAATAGTACATTGTGTAACGGTGGGGGAATGTTGTTTATTGTGGGGACGGGCGCGACTGCACGAGCGAAGCGAGTGCGTAAGCACACCCGTGTCGACCTATAAACAAATATGCCCCCACTGTTATACATAGAATTTTTCTTTACAAGTGCTCGTCGTAATGTGCCCTATACAGCAACATTTTTGCGCAGAAGAGTGGGATTAGAGAAATAACTTAACGGCTTCAAGTATTGGCTATTTACCGCACGCAAAAGCGTTAAGGTGTAGGGTACACGTGCACGTATGAAGAAAATATGTATTTACATTTAGTAAACATTCATCTTATACTATTCAAAGAAATATTAAAGATCAGTAAATTTTTTCTTAGTATATAATTATAAAACACATTTCATAACTTCATATATTTTTACCTTAGAGCCCAATTTTAGAGGTTCATTTCATAGCCTGTGTTCTTTATATTTTCGTATAATTTTTTCTTATTATATGATTCTTATTCTCCTTTATAATCTTTGCCGTGATCTTCTGCCGATGGAGATGCGACACTCGCGAGTAAGTGATTTCGTGATACACTATACATACAGAATATAAGAATATATATGTTCATATAACACTTCGAATATTTAATTAATATTTGAACATTCTGTAAAATTTCTTTTGGTATTCCAGTAAATTGGAAATACAAATCAAACTTTTTATGAACGTAAATACCAATAATCCAAATACGAAATCAATACATTATTACTTCACGATTTCTAGATAACCATAATGGAACTCCTTAGCAATTTTCTTCAAAGAAATATAGGATACTTAGAAAATTTTGATGACTCTCGTATTACAAAAGTGATAAGACTAGAAGCCATAAAATGGGCATGTACCATCGGTGACGGGTATTGCAAGAATTTAGCCACCATGAAATTAAGCCGACATCTCGCAGATCGTGAACTTTACAAGTAATTCTTATACGATTTCAATTATCTGATAAATTGTGTGTGTGGCGTGTGTTGTGTGTACAAATGTGTAATGCGTCTGTGCGCTCGCGCGCATGCATATTGATATAGCCAAATCAAATTTTTAATGCTTCCGTTAATCAACATTCTATATGTTATACTAATAATGTAATGCATAGAATGACTTAATATGACGTTGTGTGTAAGTGGAAATTATATACAAGTTGTTAAACATTACCTATACAATCCTTTTTATTTATTTGTTTCTTCACTGTATAATATGATTACGTAACAAGTATTATATATAGAATAGAAGAGTTGCGCAAAACGGGAATTTAATTTTTCAAAGTAAAGGTATTTACTATTTAATAAAGCATCTATGAAACTACATAGATAAAACAGAATAATATCATTTGAAACGTACGTATCTTTTATTGATGGACACATATAATGTTTAGATTTCCACTTGGGCACAATTTTATGTATTGTATTGGTTTAATGGCAGCCAATAGGACTACTTGGGATAAAATGTTGGAATTATATCAAAAGACAGATCCAAAAAATCTAAAATTTAGAAGAACTTTGTTGAACAGTTTGAGCTGCATCGAAAATCCTGATATTATCATCAACTATTTAAATCTTGCAACATACAATACTTCGTTATTTAATGAAGAGGATCATTCTCTTATCTTCATGTCTGTTATTAATAAACATTCGAACGATGATTTGATCCTTGATTACATATTGAACAATTTTGAAGCTCTAAAACCCAAGTAATAACATTTCTTTTTGTAAATATATGCTATTTTTTTACAATTAGTCATAAAGATTTATTAATAATAAATATATTACTTTCTTTTCGTAGATCACTTACTACAACTGCAATAATAAAATATATTCTTTGGAATAATTTTTATAATGAACAAATTGATAAGGTATTATTTATGATTTTAAATTAACATACTTATTGACTTATTTATCGACTATCAAATCAGTGAGGTTTTAATAGTTGTGAAGCGTTTCAAATAAAAATCATTTATCGTGATAAATTATTGCAACTTTTTATAATTAAATTCACTTTTTACAATTAAATTAATAATAATACTAATAATTAATTCTGTTTGCAACTTTAAGCTATTTTTGAAGAAAAGCACATTGTAAAATTGAATAATAACGTATAAAATGAATTAATGATATACAAAATTAATTATTATTAAATATCTCCAATTAATTTGTTTCAGATAAAAATGTTCTCAGACGTTAATCTTATACATGATCAGGAAGCACGGGGTGTAATTGACACACTGATACAAAAGCGTAAATCATTGGTTGAAAAAAACTTAAAAACTTTTAAAAAATATTATTTTTAGAAGGGTGTCAATTTTAAAGATCGACTATTAATTAATAAAAAAAAAAGAATATACAATACAAAACATACATATACCTACATAAATTTTCTAAAATATTATTATTATTTATTACTGTCATTTGTGAATAATTTTTTACGTATTTTTATTTCTAATATTTTTTCAATGCTGTAATATTTTATATAATATTTAATAATTTCTTAATATTCTAAAAGTTATATTTTATAACAGAATCTATATTACACGTTAATTTTTTGTATAATATATTATATAATATGAAATGATCTCTAAAGTCATTGATCAAATATTTGTATTACCTCAATACTCTTCATTATTACGTACGATATACAGATCGAGTACGTGCAATTATCTCTATTGATATAAAAAGATAATATAATACTTTATAAATATTATTTTTTATATAATAATATATCGTTTATATGCTAACAACGATATTTAATAAGCTATTTAAGATATTATTATTATCTATTATTATTATTATTATTATTATTACGATGTATATAGTTGCTTGATTTGGAAGAGAATAAATAAATATAATGAGAGATAAAGAGATGTTACGTACTTTAATTGTAAATATTAACAATTAAATTAATTATCTACTGTAATAAAAGTAGCTTTATTTAAATAACAGTTACTATTATTATAAATATAAATTATAGTATAATTTTATAACTAGTAGATATAAATATAAAATATATATATCTAAATGAAACACATTAAATCAAGAGAAAGTCAAAATGGACATACATACTTCAAAATAATATAATTTTTATTTGCAAAATTTGACTTTTTGATTTTAAGCATTAAAAAAAAATTAATTTGAAGTGTCATTTTGATTTTCTTCTTGACTTTTATGTGTTCCTTGAAAGCAAAAATGCTAATTATTAAATTATGTCCCTCTCTCATCCTCCCATTTTTCTCTTCACATTTTGTTTCACACATAATACGGACGATATATCATTGCGGTTACGTTCAGCAAAATAACAACTTTGCAACTGTTGTAATTGCAGCTGTTGCTTGTTTGCTCACCCTTAGTTCAAAAGATATACGAAAATTATGTTTTGGGGGGGCCAACTTCACACTAGCCCCCCAATATTAAAAAATCGATTTTTTTTCTTCATGCATTCGTTTGCCCATCGTTTGCTCACAAATCTTTTGAACTAAGGGTGAGCAAACAAAAATTCCAACTGAGTATTCGTGAGCAAACGATGAGCAAACGAATGCATGAAGAAAAAAATCGATTTTTTAATATTGGGGGGCTAGTGTGAAGTTGGCTTCGCTCTAGCCAGTCATTTGAGAATGCTTCTCCAGTGCAGTATCTAGCAAAATGGCGGCCACTGGATACTGATACTGAACAAAATGAATGGAAACGCAGTCTCATGTGTGAAACGGAACTTACTCCTAAGGGCGGATTCACACCTTGACGGAAAAGTGGAAAGCGGAAAAGCAGTATAGCCAATCAGAACTTACGTTGGTAGTAAGTAGCCTGTGCGTGTGGTTTCACTCTCTCCAATCAGATGATACAATAACAATAGGATTCTAACTTAACCTAACCAAAACACAAAATTGTACAGGATTGAAATTGTGATGAAAGCGATCTGTGTTTTTCTAAGTTTTTAGTTGTTGAAAAATGGCTACTGTGAAATTTGGAAAACACTTGAAAGAGTTGAGAATTCTCCTCTGCCAAACGTCCAAATCTAGTCAAGGCGTTAGGTAAAAAAGTCTTACGACATACACGTTCTATCAGCATCATCAGCCATTCGAATTAATTTCAGTCTCGTTAATTTTTGTAATGTGAACATTACAGAGATTTCATCGAGCAACAATATGTACCGTTAAAGAAAAATAATCCGAGATTTCCCGTTTTGATCAGAGAATGTTCGTCAATTGAACCGAAACTGTATGCGCGTTACGGTATGTAAAGACATATTAATGGTTACATTTGTATTAAGAAACAAAATCAACAAAAACACCATTATGTCCCTCTTAGCATTTAATGAATAATTAGAATAACATATGTTGAATAACCTAGAATGACTATGTTGCCTAAATGGAAAGCATAAATTGTTTATTTTTCGTTTTTCTTCCCAATGCAATCATTGCTTATTTAGGCTGGTTTTGTTATTTATTTTGAATATTAAAAATCTATAGTTTATATTATGTATACTATAGATCTTCAGTATGTACAGTGAATAACAGAATACAATTCTAATTCTTATAAATCATCTTCTTGTAAATTATTAATTTTGCAGAATATGGCGTAGAACGTTGCGTGCCTCTATCGAACCTGAAGTCTGAGGAGATACTTGGGAGGGTTCAAGAATTAGCATCTCAAAAATAGATATACTTTATTATGTTTTATCATATGTGTAATATGTATAGTGTTTTAATAAAATAGTGTATCAAATGAAAGGAGAAAATTGCATTGGCAGGAATCTATTAGATCTTGTATGATAGTCAATTTTTTGTCAATGCTTTCAATGCATGTTAATATATGTATATGTAAATACATATATGGATTGAACTTAAAAAATTATAAAAACTAATTTCAACAAAAATTGCACACAGAATTACCATTTTCTTATAATAAAATGTTTACTTTTTCCTTTGTATATATAATTTTTATATATTAAACAACTAATATTTTATAGAATATGTGCAATATTCTCTACACTTTAAGTAAAATAAAATTGTAAAAAAAAAGAATATTAGAATAAATTTTGATATGAGAATTTAACTAGACAAGAGAGGGCCTAAAAGCATTTTTGCAATCTTTTCTTGTTTTTTTAAAATATTTCTCTGGTGTTAAATCTTTATCAAATCAATGAACTTTGCCAAGCATAAGTTTTATTATCATTTTCCGATATCAAAATTTGTATTTCATTTTAAATTTTGGCTGAAAAATAATAGTCTTTGAACCCAAACTACTTAATAAGTTAATACTTTTGATCCAGTTAAGAATTAACGTTCAGTAAATATAAAATATAACCAACAGAATAGATACATAAATATATCTATAGAACTTCATACTATTAATAAACATATGGCACGTAGAACTTATTGTCTAATTGAAACTTCATCCTATAATGAACATATGGAAGGTTTAATAAACGAAGAATTATCTCTCGTATATGATATGTGCAGTCATATATATGTTTTCAATTTCAGGCAGTGATAATTTACCTATATATTTTTTATAAAAATATATATCTGCAGAATATATATCTTTCTTTTTTTCAAATCAGATCTATGTATGTACAGCAGTCAGACTTTATCAATGCTAATAAAAAACCTGCCTGCAGGCTTTTTTGTTTTTGCCAACAATTATTTGCTTCATCTATAAGGATCTAATATGTCTAATATTCTTTTTTGTGATGTATACTTTCTTTGTATGTAGGAAGGCAAATAATTTAATTATATTTTTATGCTATAAATGGCGGTAGGCCAAAGTCCTCTGGTTTGAAGTCTTCCAAACTTTCTAAGACTAGTGTTGCATCTTTGGTGAGATGTTTAGGAAGTTGAGGATCTGGCACCATTACCACTTGCATCTTAGCAGCAATGCCAGCCTGTACTCCATTTGGTGAATCTTCAAAAACTAAGCACTATATAAACAGATAAAATAAATATAATTTGTATTTTGATTTAAAAATGTATATATATATACACATTTTTTAATATAATATACATATACATGTAAATTAAAATATACAACAAACCTTTAAAGGATCAGGATTATCAGGGAAACGTTTTGCAGCAATCAAGAATATATCTGGATGTGGTTTTCCTCGGGTGACCTCTGGGTCAGAACCACCATACACTTTGTGATTGAACAGATTGAATATATGTTTCCATTTTTGAATTTTTAAATCACTGCTCTCCTGGCTTGAACTTGTAGCTAGTGCGATAGGTATGTTATTCTTTTTAAGATGCTGCAACAACTTTTCTGCACCTACATATAATTAAAATTATTCAACATATAATGCTAAATCACTTTTGTCTTGTATAATTTACCTGGCATAAGATTACAGTGAGGAAATATTTCTTTGTATATAGGAGCAAGCTTATCTTCAAATAATTGCACTGTAATCGGTAGCTGTAACATTTCTATTAAAGTCTGCAAAGCTTCAGCAGTTTTATTACCCATAATCTTTGCTTTGTGCTCCCAACTATATGTTTTTCCATATTCCTGAGTGACACGGTTATATGCTATTGTATACATGGATTCTGTATCTACATGTTATAAAGAAAATTAATAGAAATTATTTTTTAAAATACAAACATTTTAATGTCATGATCGCCAAAAGAATGTCATTATAAAAATATATAATATATAAAATTGATGAGACACAGTGAATTTCTATTAATATAGAAATCGTTAGAGAATATAAAATTGTGCAAATATTATCTAAAATAGTCCAGGACATCCTTACCCAGTAATAAACCATCCATGTCAAAAATGCAATGAGTAACATTATGAAAATCCATTCTAACCACAGATTCTCTTAGGTTATCCACGATATGATCCACCACAGTTTTTATAGGGATTTCCTTTCGTATTTCGAGAAAATTATTTATTCGACAAAAATATCTCGTTCAAAAACACGTGTTACCAACGACGTGATATTTTAAACTAATATTTTCGCTCCGTGATAAGACAATAAACGTTAAACTTATGCAATCAGATTTCGACATGTAGTCATAGATACGATATTGAGCGATACACAGACTCTCCCCCTCCACCTTGATATTTACCATTAATCTTACACGTGATTCTCCAAACCTGATAGGGAACTCTCCACCTGTCTTCACCATTTAGTTATCAAGCAAAGAGAAGAAGTCCCTTACTCAATAATTGTCTCGATAATTAATGTAAAATGTTTATGTCCAGTATTGCATAATGCATAAATTATATAAAACTTAGAGACAAGATCTTGTGAAGTCACAATGAGAATGCAATGTTCATAGTATACACTATGATTTGAGGAGATATAATTACATTGTTTATATTTAAAAAATTTTTACGAAATTCATTCATGAAGTGTATTTAATAATAAACATGGCTAATCAATTGTATATATATACAATTCATAATCTAATATTATCAGTATTAATAACGGTATATATAAAACGTATATAATTAATTATTTTGTCTAATTTTTATATTCTATACAAAAGGCTGATACTATTTATGTACTTATGCATTTAACTAGTTCCCATGTTTTTGTGCCAATCTTTAATTTTTTAAATTCTATGAGAATTACATGCGAACTAATTATTCAGATTATTAAATCAATATAATTTAAATAATTATATAAAACATTTAAATATTTATTGATTTTTTATTTGCATTTTTAGACAAATTTTAAAATTTTACAATATTTAAATATTAAATCTTTTTTAAATTTGAAATTTTATACTGAATTAATACGTTATTGTCGCATGTTTTCTAATTTTAATCAATTGGCACAAAGACATAGTCGTCTTTATTCAAACTTCATCTTAATTTTTATCTATGTTGAATTAAATCATTTTCTGTAACATTAGGAATGCTATAAAAGTTATACGGCAAGTTTGCTGGCAAAAAGTTTTGTAACCCTGGCACTGTGTTGAAGTATGTATTTCGGTCTCTGAATACCGTTTCTTGGACAGTACTAGTGACATCCGTTTGGAAAGTCTGAATAGTAGTTGTTGGAATAGCTTGGATGACTATTGGTTGTGATGCTGAAGCATGAGGAACTGCTTGTATTACCTGTAAAGATACAACATTAAAATAATCCGTTGTGTTAGTTTAGATGCCTACATATTGGGCGAGTTTTTTAATTCATCGATTGATTAATTGCATGATGCGTAGATGCAACATGTTGCACTTGCGCATCATGCGATTGATCAATCGATGAATTAAAAAACTCGCCCATTATATAAACAATAAAATTCATATTTTTTTGACTCACACATTTTTTAATTTAATATAATCCATCTTGGATGCAGTGTAATTTATCTTACTATACTATTTTTCTTAACTTTAATCATTATTGATATACATGTATAAAGTAAAATATTGAATAATTCAATGCCTAAATGATGAAATTATGTATTATTTAATTTTAAGGATGGATTAAAGATATATAAATATCCACTATTTGAAAACTTCTAAAAAGACAATTATAAAAAAATTTGAACCCAATAATTCCGCAAAGTAAAGTATATATAGGACGTTGCTTACAATTTCTTTATCATAAAAATTACAATTGTAATAGAATCAATTTGAAAATTTTAACCCACTCAAGATTATAAATAAAACAAACAATACTTGACAAATAAAAACTTATAAAAAAATTCATATCTACTTGTACTGTTGTTGATTCTGTTTGAGGTATCGAAAGTGGATCTTCTGCAGTAGGCTGCTGTATCGGAGGCTGCGTTTGTTCTGTCGATTGTTGCTGTTGTAATTGTTGATTATTTGTTAGATGCTTAGTATGAGAAGTATTAATTCCGTGTCGACGTTTCATGTGTTTATTATAATTTGGCCAATTTGTAAAGTGATGCTGACACTCCAAACAACTGTATGGACGCTCTCCAGTGTGTTGTCGCCTGTGTGTCTGCAAATGTGAAATAATCGCATTAAGTCGAGCAAAGTATTGTACAATTAGATTTCAATATGATAACTTACAGTTAAGATTCCTTTGAAACGGAAGCACTTCCCACAGAATTCACAGGTAAACGGCATTGCACCGGTATGAATTCTGTGATGTTCTCTCAAGGTTCCTTTTTCTCTAAAAGTGCGTCCACATACAGCACATTGATGCGGCTTAGCACCAGTATGTACTGTTTCATGTTTCTTCAATTGTAAGGGTGTTTTGAATCTGGAAATTTATAACCTTATTTTAAAATCCCGGCTTTATTTCCAACTTTTATTCCACTAATTCTTTAAAAGATATAAAGTTGATGATTTAAATGAATATTATATATAAAGGAGTACGAGAATGAGATGTAATCTATTTCAGAAACAATAAATTCTACTTTCTTTCCTTTCTCTTCGTTATATTATTTTTATATTCTTATATTTTTATGCTATTTTGAAGTATATTAAATATAAAAAAGGAAGCTAAAACTTCATTAATTTATTTATTATATATATATAAAAATATTAGACTCTTTAAGAATGCTAAACTTGTAAAAAACTTTAAGCACAAAACGTTAATTAACGATTTAACTATAGATTTAAGGAAGAAAAAAAATGTATATTTTTACTTACGCTTTTGTACATTGAGAGCAATTATATGGCTTATCTGGTGAATGAGTTAAGAAATGAGCTTCTAAATTTCCTTTCTGTATGAAGCTCTTACCACACTGATCACATGTGAAATTTCTGACACCAGTATGAATACGTTTGTGTGTTGCAAGATTTGGTTTTGTCGAAAATCTGAAAAGGTAAATTTTCTGATTAATGTATAAAAATTCTCTAAAATATAATTTAAAAAAATAGATTATTACCTTTTATCACACTGGTCACATGGAAATCTATTCTTCATAGTGTCAGGCAAATGGCATCGATTATGGATACATAAAGCACTTTGCTGCCTGAAAGCTTTACCACAAGTTTGGCACACATATGGCCGTTCTTCGCTATGAATTGTCTTATGAGAATCTAATACTTTTTTATGTACAAATGATTTTCCACAATCGTCACAGCTAAAAGTAAATTAAATGATATTAATATATGATTATTTACAAAATTCTTATATAATATTAATATAACAATGTTATACAATATAAATATAAATAATTGTTACCTGAACTTTGCTTTATTCTTATGCCTTTTAACATGAGTAAGAAACCCATAATACTTATCATAAACTTTACAACATTGCACACACATATACTTGGCTTGTTGATTATGCACCGTTTCATGATGCTCCTCTAATGCTTCTAAAGATGGTAATTTGTCATTACAATCTGTGCATAACCAAGGATATCTGTCCAGACCTTCTGCCTTTTTTCTTCCATGTTTTGTTGCATCCATTGTTCGTGTTTCTCTTATTTCTAAATTTGATTCTGTTTCTTCCACTTTAAAAGTACATATTATATTAGATTTATGATAGATATAGATATATATTATATATAAATTTAAAAAATAATAAAACAAATAGTATGAAAAATAAACACATTTTTAATAGATTAATCTTACCAGACATATAATTATCTACAATGTCATCTGCATCATTTTGTTCCTTGTCTACTTGAGAAGATATATGGAGCTCAGACTCTTCTTCAGTCTTTTGTATTTGACCTTTCTTCTTTAATTTTTTCTTAGTTTGTTTGGGAGAACTCTTCTTTATCTGTATCTTACACTTCTTCTGTTTTGCATTCTCTTGCATTTCTTGAGTTTCAGAATTTGCATTTTTATTACATCCCTCAATGAAGTAAGAATTGTTCAAGATATTGACTGTTTCCTCATTGATATAATTATCAGGTAATTGACATTGAACAATCTCCTCCCTATTGTTGGCTTCATCCTTTGGAAACTCTACAGTTTCCTCAACGCAATCTATATTTGGTTCGGTCAGTTGTGGTTCGGACTTTGGATCTATTAGCAATTGTCTTAGAGATATTTGTGCTTGATTGGTCTTCTCAAAGAATTCATTGCACTGGTTCAATGAATCACAGCAGTCTATGCAAACCATGAGTGGCAAGCCATCTGTTATTACAACCTGTATAATCATAATAGTTATTGAAAATAAAAGTATCAAAAGTAGATTTATATAAAATAAGGATATAAAATTTACAAGTAAATTATTAAAAAAAAATAATTTTATTATTTTTTAATGATATAGATTTAAGCATTATCCTTGCAAAATCTGTTAAGTTTTTAATATAAAAGAATGATGCATAAAATTAAAGTTTATTTATGACCTAATATCTCTATTATTTAAATTTCCAAAACAGATAGATATTTTGCTCAAGTGTGCTAAATAAATTAATAAATTTTAATAAGCCTAAATTTCTTGGATACAAACATATAATAAAATAAGGATATATATATTAGAGTATATTATTTTATTAAATTTTTATTCTTAATATTAAAAATTGTTTCCTTCAAAGAAACTATATAACATTGTGTGTGTGAATAAAATACATTTTAGTCCTCTTAGATCAGACGGTTTTCACGGTTTTCACCAAGGAAACAGAGCTGCCGGTTATCCATGGTAACAGTACCTGTATCTGTAGGCATTTCGCGATCTTGGCCTCGATCGCGAGCTTCTGGCCCTCGGCGTCGTAGATCCCGATGAGACTGTCCTTGGTCTCGGCGCATAGCCGGCAGAGTTCCGGCTCCGTCATCGTCATACGGTGCGTATGCAAAATCGTCGCCGTCGTCGTTGTTGCGCGCGAGATCGTCGTACGCCGTCGTCGACGTCGCGCGTGGACGCATCGCGTTCACCCCCTAATAAAATCGTATGTGTCGCGCGCGCATCATCGTATCGCGCCGCACGCGTAGTACGAGAACCCGGGGACAACACCGACCCGGATTGCAGCGGACATGTTGTACCTACCTACGCTCGTGCAACGAAGATACCGCGGTCACGGCCGCGCTAGCGATGAGAGGCAAACGACTTGTTGCTCCGCTACGCGACGCACCGCTGATCAATCGAACAACCGGCCGGATTATTCAACGATTATCCACTTTGTTCTTGGAAAGCAATGAGTTAAAGATATATACACCGCGTATATCTTTTCATATACTTCACAATATACTGCAATGGTCCCACCAAAACATATACAATCGTCGGAACGTTTGTTTGGAGTAAAAAAACATTAGACTTTACGAGCACGCACGCGCATGCGCCACCCGTTTAGTTGATATGGTTGAACCGCGTTTACCGATAGTCGGTAATAATGAATAGTGGAATTGTTTTAAAAATTGAACATATATATATTTTTTATTTTATTTTATTGTATATACCAACAATTATTCATTACATATACAAGTATTCATCGAAATACAGAAATTAAACGAATTGATAAACGTATGATTATATTTTTTCTTTATTTTTGTTCTTACAGTTTTGTCTTTATTCTAATGAAAAATATAAAGACAAATTTTATTTATTATATATCTTCATTAGATCTGCGTTGCTGAAATGAAATTTGTTAAGCAAGTGTCACTTTTTACTGTCATTTCTAATAGATACTTGGCTTAATTACATGATGTTATATATCTATATACCAAGTACGCGACATTTACCTAAACGCACCGAGACAAAGGAAAGTAAATGGTCATTTTATTTGATAACAAGAGACGTTGAAATTATAGCGTCAATATTTCTAAAGTTATTTTTTGATAATTTAAAAAAAAAAATTAAATTTTGGTTTTAAAATTATTTCTGGAAACTCATACAGACAACTTCAATATAAGCAACATATATTTTTATTCTAATTCTAAACTTTTATTCTATAATTATAATTGAATTGCAGAGCGAGAACTAACTACCTGCAGAAATTAAACGTTCAGATGATGAAAAATTTTCATATTCTAAAGATGAAGCTCACACAAGCCGATCAACACGCATTTACATTAATTTATTTGACCCGTAAAAATGTCCGGACGAACCACTTAAAATTCAACAGGCGTGTTAGCGAAAGTCTACGTTTTCTCGCAAAGTCATCACGTCAAACACAGTCAAACGGCCCTGCTGAACAAACATGCAAACATGATCGTGCCGTTAATCAATTATCTACATATTTGCGAGTATTGCGGAATGTATACTTTTTTCCGAGAACTTTTGACGCAGCGTTATTTCAATTTTCATGCTTTCGTGTACTCCCCTTTCACTCAGCATTGACAAACAGAGATTTTACTTTCCACTTTTCATATAATCTGCGAAAATTGAACTTTAAAGATATAATTTTGCTTTAAAATCTGAAATTTATGTTCCACAGCAAAAAATCTTCTTAAAATAATACAAAATCTTTCTATAAGACCGTTTATATATGTGACTACATCAATGATTAGGAAGGAAGAACCATAAACGGTCAAGATAGAATTTTTAGTGCTGAAATAATTCTCTGTATATAAACTTATGTACTACATATAATATTCTATATATAGTCTTTTTCAAGCACCGTAATTATTTTTGATCTTGAAACGCAAGCCGATTAAACTATAAGTAATAAAATATTACAAATTAATTTTTTAAGAGTATTTTAGAGAAATTATTTTAAATTTGTTTTCTGTGACTAAACTATAGTGTACGCTAAAGTGAGATAGGTGTATATTCGATATTTGTTAAAAACGAGAAAGAGTGTTCTAATGCAGTTTAATGCAGTTTAATGCAGTTTAATGCAGTTTAGTGCAAGAACAGAAAACAAACCAATTACCTTCGAGCTTTCTCTTTTAGAAGTGCCCTTTAAATTTTATATCTTTTATGCAGGATATATGATTGCGCGCGTTGAAACAAAGAAAACTATATAATCAATTAGCGCTTAGTGATTCTTTAATATGATTGGTTCCTACACTTACACATTCAATTAGATCCAGCGAAGAGCTAAAGGCGAAAACTAACAATGTTAAAGAAACACTAACTGATTATAGTTTTCTCTGTTGAACGCAGCTAATGTAAATCCAGTGAGAAATGACCATCAGTTATTAAACATCAAATCGACGAAATCATTATATCAATGTTGACATCAATTCAAGTCATTTCTCGTTTATTAAAATTGTAAAACATTTTTATTTTCAAGGTTGACTATAAAAATTAATTATATATGTATAAATATGATCTTTGCGGGATATTGGACATGAGCTAATAAGTTCACGTTTAATCAACTTGCAAACAGATGAAAATCGAAAGCGGACTTCCGAATAATTATTTTAGAAAATATCGTAAGGCGCAAAGAACTCGGAATTAGAACCATATTAAATTCAAATGATGCGCTGTAATGATTCCGGATTTTAAATCTCTTTTTGGCTGCAATAACTGTTCTATTCATTTCATTTTTAGGGGTACATTCTACAATTCAAATGTCATCACGTGTTTTATCCACTTTCATATCCACGCGATCATTGCCGCCTGGCAAAGGGCGGGAAAGTCTTTTTCTGCAAGGCTCTTTCAATATTCGGTATTTTTTTTTTGTTTTTTTGGAGAAAAGGTCCTTTTCGCATCGAGGACGGAAGAGTTTTTGAGCATCACTTGAAGTATTGTCGGAAATACGTCTCTACGCCCGAGCGTGGTCCTCCTTACAAAAGAGGGGGAGAAAGGGAGTCTTCGTGACGGGCGGACCCGTCTCTCGAAAACGTTGTTGTCCGGGTGGTAAAAGTACTGACACGACTACACGACGTGTCCTCCTTGTGTATATATAGGGGTGCCTGCCAAGAAGGTATTGCAGTTCTCCATGGAACGTCTGTAAGACAACATCATAGTGGATATCCAACCTTTTAAAGTTTCTTTGGTGGAGACATTCAACCACTCAATTGCAAGAAAAAAGATTAATTTAACAAGAAAAGCACTCGATTGCAGCTGATCGTGTCAGGTAAATTAATTTAAATAATATGTGTGAATGATATTATATGTAATTATAAGATTATATATTTTGATGATTTATGATAAGAAGTTAGATTACACCAAAATTATATCATTCCATGTAAAACGTTAAAATTTATATTATTACAAATTAATCAAATTATCACAAAGTAATTTTAATCAGTGTAATTAAAATTTAAAAAATTACAACATTTATATTTAATATTCAAAATGTTGAAAATGAATTCTACATAATCGATATTATATTGTAACATTATTTGCAAGAAAAATAACATTTACTAGTACTTTTGAATTGAAGTAAATATTTATGTCACGTAAAAAAAATAAGGTTGATTGAGCGTAAGGTATCACCCTGTATAATATTGGAATCATGAAACCGGTTTGAGAGTTGATTCTTCATGAAAGTTCAGCGATATTTAAATTCATAGATAACGAAGAAAGCGTTAATGATCACGATGGGATAAAGATACTTCTAATTAGAACAGATCATGATGATTATGTTCAGGCATATTAATTTCATATTTCTTTAATGATCGTAGCGTAAAAAGAAGAAAAATGATAACATTCGTACTTCTTACTGCTTTGGTGACGTTGTCCTCCGCCCAATTTCAACCACAACCCAGCGGTCGGATTCTAGAATCACCGAATCCAGTACTTTGCGCGCAGCGTAAGTCTCATATTTATGTTAATATTATTAAAAAGAAAAGCATAAAAGTCAACGCAAGTTTTTGTAGCGGAAACATTATTTATATACAATTATTTCATAACGAAAGAATATAAACGTTTCGACCATATTATTCGTAGTTTTTTATAATTCAAATATAATTATAAAATTATTGGATAATAATAAACCATATCTATATAATTATATATATTATATCGTTTACTTTTCGCTCGCACATTTATGTATCATTATTTTGATCAAAATCTATCCAAATAACATAAAAACAACTTCTAAAGACATCTTGAATTTTTTAAACATTCTTTGCATGGTTTCTTTCAATTTCCATGTTACTTATTGTTAGAAATGAGAAACAATTTAAAAGAGAGAGAGAAATAAAGAAAAAATGTGGTGTAAGATTAATTTTTAATGATATTTAAAAATTAAAGGTAATTAATTCGATGCCATTATTATTCTCGGCTGATAGAGGAAATTGCTATCGCCAATATTAATTTAATACTACTAGATTGGTGATCTTCCACTAATAATAAGATAAGTAATATGTTCCCGCGATGCTTAAAGATCTACGCTGGAGAGAGTCTTCCTCATTCCCTCAACAATGGTTATCCAAGGAAAAAACCTCGAACTAGAGAAAGTATTTTCAATATTTGTTATTAAGAAGAGGCCGTGACCCATGATCCTATGACGGAATTCCTCCTACGTTTGATTCTTTACTTCCTACTCCGCCTCAGTCCGCTTCGAGGTCATTGTTTTAACGCCTCGACTCTTCTGACTCTAACGCGTTCTCTTACATCGACATTCAATATTAGTTAATACCATTATTAATTATACGTGACCATCCAGCCTTACACCTCGCGTTTTTCTCGGTTCACACTCGTTATAGAAAGTATGACGATGACACCGACAGCAGTGTAACTCGAACACATTTGAATTGGAAATGTCCTCGTCCTCGTCGTAAGTAGTACGGAATGTCGATTGCCACTTTCACGTTCATCGTTTTCGGTTGGGTCGGAAGTGGTGATAATCTATCATTGTTAAAACGTTCACGCTTATCTAATCCAGAATGGAAAATCTTTAGGAACCAATTCCTAGATTCTCGTAAACTATATTGTAATCCAAGATAGTTCGTAGATAAACGATTTATCAACCGAATTTTTCTCCAAGAATATACATCTTGAAATCTTTTGGACTATAGTTTCTAGATTTTGATTCAGAATAGGAAATCTTCTAGAAAACTTCCCATTCCTAAATGAACTATATTATTAATCAAGATAATTCGTAGGTAAAAAATTTAACTATCGAGTTTCGTGCTTTAAAGAACGTATCAAATATATCCCACAGAAGGAGATTAAATTTTATTTAAAAATTATTCCTGTTTTTTAAATTCTATTTTTATTAATTTTTCATTTTTAATGAAATAAGATGAATTTGTTTTCTTGATTCTATAAATATCTTATAAAAAATCTAGTGTAGAAGAATTAAATTACAATGAAAAACTGTCTGATGGAACACTATCGACAAGCTTTTAGACTTCTAAGACGAAAAAATGTGGCACGCACGAAACTCAGATAACCGATTATTCATTCATTAGGCGTAGTCCTATCCACGCGTTCCAAGGCACACCTCATAAAAAAACTTTCTTTTTCTTTATTTAGAAAGTGACGATGTAATCAGCATACTATACAGGTGCCAATGTCTAGGTCGTGACTGTGGTCGTCGAGGTCACCGTCACGACTGACACTAATTTCGTAACTTTCACTCCGGGAATGAGCAAAAGATCTCCGGCTCTTCCTAGTAAACTCGCGCGTTCAAAGATATTCATAAAGATTATAGCCTATTGTCTGTTGCCTATCTGATTTGCTCCATCTTCTAATTACGGTTTTTTGCAGGAACTATCCATCAACGATTCAATGGAAAAGGCTATTACTTTTCATGGGCCGATCCGAGGACAGCTGGACAGGAGGTAGATTGGCTGTCAGGTAGAAACTTCTGCCGACAACGTTGTATGGACCTAGTTTCATTAGAAACCTCCGCCGAGAACGAGTTCATCAAGAGCCGCATCGTTCAAAGTATGCATGATTCTGCAAGTTGAGCCTGTATTTGTGAAGCAAAAACAAAGGATGACGAAATGAAACGTTTCTCTTGTAGACAAGGTAAAGTACATCTGGACCTCCGGTCGCCTCTGTGATTTCAAAGGCTGTGACCGGCCGGATCTACAGCCCCTTCACATCAATGGCTGGTTCTGGACCGCCGAGTTGCAGAAGCTCGCGCCGACCAACGAACGAAGTCAAAACGATTGGTCTGAGAGTGGCGGGTAAGACTTATTATTCACAGTATAACGCATTCTTATAACAACCTGTAATTTTGTATGCAAAAATAACGCTTATTAGAATGCTTATATCAAGATGTATCGAAGCCAAGAGAGTACAAATGCTACTTTCATTATTGAGATCAAGGATATCGAACAGTTGTGATTAGATCTTTTTCTATCCAGTGTAAATCCCTGTTATTGTCTGCTTTGTAATCAATGATCTCTGTATGTACATGCATATTGTCAATACTCAAGGTCTAATATTCAACTTCCTCAAATATATACGTGACAAAATAACAAAAACAATAATAATGTATATATCTTGCAAGAATTGTTTTGGACAATACGTTTTTAGCATTGGCAAACCGCAACCTGATAATCGAGAAGCTCTTCAGGGCGGCGCTCCCGAAAATTGTCTTGCAGTCCTCAATCAATTCTACAACGATGGAGTGAATTGGCACGACGTGGCATGTCATCACAAGAAACCATGGGTCTGCGAGGATAACGAGTCCCTTTTAAGATATGTTCGCTTTAACAATCCTAATATTCGTATATAATGGAAAAAAACTTGGAGCAATGATAGCTTGGTTTGAATAGGTTTAAGCACACCTATAAAGTTACAATGTTCAAAAGCGCATCTATGTGACACGCCAGTGAAGCGACTGAATAGTATATAGAACATATTATTTATTACTATTGTATTTAATACTTCCATACTCTCATTTGCCCAAAAAGCATAAATTGTTTAATGGAAACTTTATGCATGTTAATTTCAGAAAATATCACTATTTATATACCTAGATATAATCATAGATACACATGAAAATTTATATTTAATAAAGAGACTGCAGTTCAAGATTTATAGATTTTATAGTTTATATACAAAATTATATATTTTCCTAAAATATAATATTATACTAATTATGTATTCAGATAGCAATAAATTTATGAATAATGAATAATTAACGAATTTATTTATTATTAAAAAACATCATTTTACTTTATATGCATCAATTTATGGCAAGTATTATTAAATATAATAATATATATTTACTTCATTAAGTATACGTAACAAGTTTTACAAAAGAGTTTAAAAAGTTTTGGCAATTACTGTTGATTACTTTTTACCTTCCACCATTATGATGTGATACCCGAACTTCGTTTTTACTGGTGGATCTGTATAAACTGGAGACCCCAGGCTAGAAACTGGTAATGCAAAAGCAGCGTCTTGGAAGGGTCCTACCATGGAACCTCGTGTCATCCAACCAAGATCACCCTTTAAGGTAACAAATAACAAAATGCAACACGTTTCCTCTCCAATTATTTATATATCAAGAGAATATAAATATATTTTTTGAATTACCCCAGATCTGGCTTTGTCCTCGCTGTATGTTGCTGCAACTTCATTGAACTTCTGACCAGCCTTCAATTTCTCCAACGCCTCCAATATCTTGGACTGCTTCTCGCATAAGATATGTCTAACCTGTGCCCAGGGAAATAATTGTATATGAATAGTTAATAGTAAAAGTCTATTTGTATACATAACATTTGTAACTGGAGTAACCAATCATTGAAAGTCCGATTACGGTGTGACATACACATCACTGTCAGATAAATTCCAAATATGTCAAAATGCATGTCCTCACCTTCACCGAGGTCCCTCCTTTCTTTTCTGTTTTCCCGCCGCCACTCTCTTCAGAGGATTTTCCCTTGCCTTTCGCGACACCGGCGTTCTTCTTCGGCGGCATCGCGTGCTACATAACTTTGAGTTACGTCAAAATCAGTCTAGGCATCGTCAACAGGAATAGAGTGTTTAAAGATTCAGAGGCGACTGTAGGTAAATTTTACGGATGATAATGAAACATTGTAGTATAGCGCCATAACCGATTATCGATGACGAAGTTGCTCGAAAATTCAAGCTGTCGAATGTGGTCATGTGATACAGAATTCAAGGCTGGAGATATTAAGGGGAATATAGACACGTGTAGTGTATACGATTTTCAGTGCACTCCAATCCAATTCCGGTGTAGGCTATAATCAACAACTCGACTCTGTGATACACTATATACATACATTTTAAATCTTATATTTACTTCTCTTTTTATTTCACATTTGTATTTTACTTTAAGTTTTATGATAAAACGTGCTTTTGTGTCTGGCAAGAATCCGCATTCCGCAATATTATACTATAATTAACGCTAATAATAGTGGTAAGTAAATTGAAATCATTGTGTATTTATAGTCACGAAATGGTAGTTGATGGTAGTTCACTTAGATTTTTCCGATTGCTATCATGTTTTGTAGTAAATTATTTTTACTGACAAAGATATTTATGACTACAATTTATAACAATCTTTGCAAAATATGTTTTCGTCAGATTCAGCTATCTGAGTTATCACATTTTCCATGGTTTTATCTCCAGAATATTCTTGAACTTTAATTTAATTGTGCAATATTGTGCAAAAAAAACAAGAAAAGAATTGCAAAAGAAGTGACTTTACTACTACATTAATTTTTATATCTTGCTGTTAAGTTGTTAACCAATTTTCAAAACTTAATAACAAAAACATATAAACTTTAAGATCTCTTAAGATATTTAAGATACATTTAAATATGTATATAAATATATAAATATATAAATATTTAATGTATTTATAAATATTAGATATAGTTTATATACAATATGTTAATAAAATCATTCAGTGTTTATATGATATAGATAATACATACAATAAGATTGTTTTACTGAATAAGTAAAACAATCTTAGTGAACATAAGTCGAAAAAGCTCAACTGTTTCTGAGATATGAATATTTTTTTGTATGTAGCGTCATAGATGACTTACTAGCTTCTACACTGTTCTCATTTAGTTCCTATATTTCGTAACAGAAGATTTCATCAGCAAAAAATTAATTATCATCAATTGGCAAATCTATATATTATTTGAGAGAGAGAGAGAGAGAGAAAGAGAGAGAGAGAGAGATGAGAGAGAGAGAGAGAGAGAGAGAGAGAGAGAGAGATTGTACAGTTACAACTGATTACGGATAACATCTTCAGTTATGAAGGATTTTGTAAAAATTTAATGAGGACATTTAGGATATGATTTATCAATACTGAGGTAAACATCGCATGAGGCATATAGAAGGCACTAAAAAGTCATTCATAATGCTAATATACAAAAAAATATTTATATCTCAAAACGAGTTGAGCTGTCGACTATAATCACTAAGATTTTATATTCACTGGTGGTATATATCTACCATATATACATAAATAATTCTTTAAATGTCCTTTACATTATTGTAATTTATTACAGCTGGTGTTTTTATTTGATTGATAAACGAAGGAAAAGAGAGACTATAATATAATGGAACTAATCCGGCCAGACCGACCATCTAAGTGTACATATAAAGTAAATGGGGAAAATTCGCCGCATACGAAACAAACGGAGTAAGTTTGTCATAACTGAAAGTTTTACAAGAAATTTTGTTATGTATATATATTGTATATATGTTATCTTGTTTGTATAATTTACATTTTTTTTACAATTGCGCGATATATGTTACAGTTGTGTACTAATTGTAATAGATGAGAAGTTGCACCATATGCTTTGAGATACAATATCAAGTTTATCAGTACATCACACAAATATGTGTGATGTTAATATGAGATATTAATATAATATATATAATAATAAGCTTTACGTTATTTTCTAGATTTCCAAATCGTAAGAAGATATTGCCAAATATTTTAAGTGCAATTGGTCAAACACCTCTCGTTCGGCTTAATAAAATTCCCAAGGCTCATGGGATCAAATGCGAAATGTGTTAGTATAAATTTGATATTAATTATATTAATTATATTTTATAAAATAGGAATTTTCTTTTATAAGTAAAAAAAATCTGATGAGAAAATTTATCTATGTTATATATAGACGCTAAATGTGAATTTTTTAATCCTGGAGGATCAGTCAAAGATAGAATTGCGGAGAGAATGATCTCGGATGCGGAGGAAAAGGGTATAATAAAACCGGGATATACAATCATTGAGCCAACAAGCGGTAATACTGGAATCGGTTTAGCCATGGCCGCAGCGGTCAAGGGCTATAAATGCATCATCGTGATGCCAGAGAAAATGTCTAATGAGAAAGTCTATGTGCTTCGCGCTTTGGGTGCAGACATAGTTAGAACACCGACCGAGGCTTCTTGGGACAGCCCAGAAGCGCATATCAGTGTTGCTCAAAAATTACAAAAGGAAATACCCAATAGTATTGTTTTAGATCAGGTGCCTTATCTTAATATCTTTCCTACATATCCTTAAAAAAAATAACGATGTTTTTAATATAAATAATATTAAATATTATATAGTATACAAATCCTGGTAACCCATTGGCGCATTATGACCAAACTGGAACAGAAATTTGGGAGCAATGCGATGGCAAAATAGATTATGTGGTACTTGGTGCCGGCACTGGTGGGACCATTTCTGGTATTGGTCGAAAATTGAAGGAATTGTCGCCTAATATACAAATTATCGGAGTTGATCCTAAAGGCAGCATTTTGGCGGAACCTCCTGAATTGAACGAGAACGGCGTTGGTTTTTACGAAGTAGAAGGTATAGGCTATGACTTCATTCCTACGGTGTTAGATCGTAAAGTGGTTGATGTGTGGCTAAAAACTGAAGACGACGAAAGTTTAAAAGCGGCGCGTGAATTAATTAAACAAGAGGGATTGTTGTGTGGCGGTAGCAGTGGTGCGGCACTCGCGGCGGCGTTAAAAATCGCCAAAGGCTTGCCTGCGGATAAACGTATGGTTGTTCTTTTGCCAGATAGTATACGAAATTATATGACGAAATTTGTATCAGATCAATGGATGGAAGCTAGAGACTTTTTGGTAAATTTTTATAAATTATGCATTTGAAATATCGTAAATTTATTGCAAATATTAAATATTTACTACATTACAATTTACTTTCAGGTGTCCGAACCTCCAACAGAAGCGAGTAAAAGATGGTGGAACTTACCAGTATCAAAGTTATCAATAAAGAAGCATATAATAGTAAGAGGAATGCCATGTCAAAATGTCGTGGATTTCTTGAAATCCTCTAATCACATTCAGCAATTGTTAGTAACTGATGCAAAGGAAACAAAGGTGCTAGGCGTTATCACACTGGATGCTCTTTTATCCAATTTAATATCCGGTTCGGTGAATGAAACTGATTTCGCTGAGAAAATCATGAATAAACAGTTTACGAAGGTCACAGTCTCGACTACAATCGGTAAAGTGTCACGTATTGTTGAAAAAGAATGCTATGTTGTAGTTGTAGACGATAATGATGCTCTAATCGGACTTGTAAGTCGAAGCGAAATTTTTGATTTTATTACCAAGGATAATGATAGTAACGCGAAATAATAACATATCATAACATCTATTTCATGTTGTATGTGATCAAGATTGTCACCTGTGTTGTGTGTTTAAATATTTAAAATTGATTACGTCAAGAAATTTTGTTTTTTTAAATATTATATTTGATACTATAATTTTATATTAGTATAAATATATGGAAATTATCGAGAAATTCAATGTGTCACTACGCTACCTGGTGGGAGAAGTCGGAATTAGCGCGATTAATTTTCTCTTAAGAAGACAGATCCTATTGATTAGGTTACCTACTTGCAGTAGTTCGATCAGTGGCACTGGCACTAGATGAATATGCCGCCTCCATCGAATTTCTATATACATATAATGGAGCAAAATATAATAGAAATTACTTATACATGATATACAGAGAATTGTCAATATGGAATTTATACATCTATTTAGAATATAGTGTTTTTAAATAATATGATTTTTCTTAATGTCTTTTACAATGTTTATACATTTTAAGCATTTAAGCTGTACTTTTTACTTCTGTTATAATTTTATGACTATTTACCAATGTAAATGCAATTACAAATGAATGAAATAAAAAAATATGACAAAAATCATATAAATGTAAATATTTATTAATTCCTTATTTTTTATTATGTCTGGGATCAGTTTAAAAATATATATATATATATATATGTTGCACAAGATGAATATTAGAAAATGTTTTAATTCTGATTATATTAATAATATATTGTTTTCCATTAAATACAATAAAAATATAGATGAGATATGATGAATTCTATTATACTTAATATAATAAATATCTACTATATTTTCTCATATTTCACATGAAAGATTTTGCTGTATGAGTACCTTTTCACAGTTTTATATCTTCTTATTTCTTGAGTCGCTCAGAATGGCTATTAAATTTTTTGAACTTGAACATGAAACTTGCAGCTTGGTAATGTAGTAGTCTCTGCTGTAACAGTGCTAATAATACCAAGATTTGCTAAACTACCACGTAGAAGACCACAAGTAAAAGCCAATAGACGAGGGCTCTCCTTGAGATACTGTTTACTATTGCTTGTACCAACTTTATCCAGCAATCTAAAGGCATTGTCTTGCAATACATACACTCCGTGATGGTTAGTTCTGAGATTATCGATTTGTTTGTGATACAGACTAGACCAGAAGTCTGTACAGATAAACTTGATCATATCCAATTCATCCTTGAACCTGCTCCATTCTCGTGTCAATCGTTCAATAATTCTATATCCAACGCTGAATCCCATGTATTCTAAACGCGAAAGTTCCTCCTCACCTTCCTATTGAAAATTAAAAAATTGAAGAATTGTGTACTTTTGTGACAAATAACATTACTTGTTAATTCTCAGCAAACTAATTATATGTAATGTACCTGTCAGTTATAATTTTCTGCTCAATAATATAACTGTAATATAACACGCGTGTGTATATTATATACAACAATATAACACAATATGTTATATTATTATATTGTTGAGTAAGAACTTATAATTAGATATATATTACATGTAACTTAGTGTGTTTGCTGAGTTATTCCTGTCACAATCAATTACTCACTGCAGTATTAGACGATCTGCTTAAAACATAATTAACCAACTCGGCATGCAAATATTCGAAGAGACAGTCGTCCGCTTCCCCGGTTGAGCTAGGGTTCGCCTTGGAGTCAATTATCTGTTGCTTCATCGTTGTTCGATGATATCGTTTCTTATTTTGACTCAATTACGGACAGTTTATATTTTCTTATGTAACTTGCCGTATAAATGTATCATTTACAGAAAAAAGAACGTCAAACAACTTGAACACACAATCGTCAACTTTCCTAGATTGTTGATTGAAGAAAAATTACTTTCACTACGCAATACGCGTCTAACTGCAAAGTTCTTGACGTATTCACAAAATATGATAAAACATATGATATCTTTGACAGATTCGCGCATGCGCTATGAAGTGATTGATAATACAGAGTTGCACCATGGTGTGCACCACACTGGTAACCATGGAAACTGTAAAGGAAAGATAATCCTCTTTACTGTAAAAGCACGCTTACTCGCTGCAGGATAAACATTTCATACACCGAGGAGTATAATTAATTTCTTTTTACATTTATAAAAGATATGTTTCAGTTTATATAATCACATTGATCTTCCTTTCGTATATTATAAAAATCTTAAGAAGTAAGTATATATATATATATATATGATATATTAAATTTCTCTCTCTCTCTCTCTCTCTCTCTCTCTCTCTCTCTCTCTCTCTCTC